CATCGGTAGCGAAAGTAGCTTCGTCATCCAGCATTCAGCGTGAGCCTGATCGTGTGGATGAAAGTCAATGTGAAGTTTGCCGATGCGATCCAAATTATCTAGAAGGAATTTCTCGTTCTCTTCATCACATTGAGAGGATATCCCTTTGCATTTACGAGGAAGAATTCACGAGCAGGTTGTCTCATTGTCCAGTCGATATTGGCCCAAAATGAAGCGCATGACAAGGCGACATCGCGCCATCTGTGGCATACGTGAATAACAGAGATCCAATCGGTTGTGTTGTTTGCATAAAGATCGCGGCGAAGAAGAACGAATATGTCACAGATAGTTTCGTTTGGTAGGTGATCGAAAGGGGAGGGAAGAGGATTGTTGGGGCGAAGACGCGAAACTGTGCACAAGGGAATAAGTGACCCCAAGTGCGACTGATGACTAGGATAAGACAACTCACATACATTTCCCATGTCCGTATCTTCCCCGGGCTCTGAACAAAGGGCTGAAGTGTACGTAGACAGCCTAATCTGCGGCCGTGAAGTAAGGGGGAAAGATACAAAACAGTCGCAGAAAACGACCAGACAGCTTTTGGACAAGATCGAGAAACTCGATTCCGGATCTGTTCAAGCCAGAGACGCTGTAAGTCGAAAAGCAAAGGTGTCAATGAGCCACCGAACACCAGGAAGGAGCCAAAGTGTCGCAGAAAACGACCAGAGGGTTTTTGTAACGCAGATAGGTAGTTGTTCAGGCTCAATGGGGGCGTTGACTCGGAGGCGCAAAAATAGGAGGGTGGCATGCCCTAACCTAGCTCCGATCCAAAATCAAGGAGTTTAGGGCTTTTTGCGCATTAATATTCCCGTTCTCACTGGAGACAAAGTTCCGTACCGTGTCAGATTGTCGATAATGGTGGCGTGAGAGAAGGGATTCAGGTATAATAATCTGCTACAGTGTAGGCCCACTCCTTGATCCGACCCCGGTCCTTGATCTGCTGCAAATCTGCTGCCTGCAGCTCCCTCAACTTAAGAATTGACCCTGGACAATACGGAGGCAGGACACTGAAGGGTATATAAAGCTCACAAACAAGCCTGCATCAATATTCCTAGGGGGGATCGTATGGTGCGGGGTCGGATCAAGGACCCACTTTTTGTGGCACTGAGTGCCACACCACAGTTGGGTCTGCCGAAAAGGCATATTCACCCTTGGTACGATGTGAATTTAATTTTGAGCAGCCTAAGGGGTGTATTCAATACTGAAGTAAACAGATTGAGGAAATATGTGAAGGGGAGGAAGAAAATGAATTATTTCGAAGTGGTGGATCAAGGAGTGGGCCTACACTGTAGTTCCCACGAAGACGGTAACCTTCGCTCCCACTATCACCTTCACTCTGCTCTTATTCACTGAGGATCAGTCCCGACAAGCTAATCATCAATCCTTTGCCCGTATTTACTCGCTATCTTGATTTTCAACCAGTTCGTTTATCTACCACTGAGAACAAAAAGTTTCACAGCTCACAAAATGGCGCATCCTTAGCTATGGCGTCCATTACCGCACAATCGGTGCAAGGGGTCTGCCAGAATTGTTTCAATGTGGAACGTTCCAGAGGTGCCAACAAGAGGTGCAGTGGGTGCTCAGTTGTTCACTACTGTGTTTGTTTTCCAATGCTGCCCTACTCACCATATCAATCGTTCCACCGCCCGCCCATTCACTCACTAGTACAACGCAGTACTGACCTCCTGTCTGTTGTTCAGGACCCCTCTTGCCAAAAATTAGACTGGAATGGCCATAAAAAATGGTGTAAAATCTTCGCCAATACGTTCAAGGCCATTCACTCCCAATCCACGAACACGACAATGTTATCTACTCCATCGTCAATTGCAGCCCACCGTCGCCCTGACTTTGACCAGGACGTCTCGTCCTTCCTAGCCCTTGCGAATCCCATCCTGATGCAAACTGCTATCCAAGCACTCGACCTGCCCGCCAAACCTCTGAGTCATACTACTTCTACTCTCCATGTCGGCCTCAGTTACCTCCCAGATCGCGACGACCCTCTCCACAGATTCACAATCATATCTCTCGAGCTTGTTAACATATCCGACATCATGGTGATGCCCACAAGTTTGCTGAGCAGAGCCATGCCCATGCGAGTGGCAATAGATGCAGATGCCGTTCGCAACGGGGATCATGGTGCCACCATTATATCCCTCGACATCTTCGACGCTGGACAACATATAGACGGTACTCCATACATGTCCTTTGAAAAACCCCACTCTATCGCACAAGTCTTTCGTATACCTAAGAACAGCGCCACGGTCTCAGGCAGCCGAAACTATGCGCTCACTTTTGAATCTTGGATGGACGGGGTTTTGCATTCCCGTGCCTGATGTTGCATTGGTACGTTTGTTGCCATTGATTGCTACATGTTATTACCTCTCTTCTAAAAGTTGTCGATGGTTCTGACATGTTAAGTTATAGCCAATCTATTCTCGATTCGATGCGATAGCTTCTTGTTTACACCGGTATTGTGTTTACTCTTCGCTTTGCACTGTCGTAGCCTTTCCATGACGATCCTCTTCTTGATCTTGACCCGAGCATCGTGATCCCTTCATAATTACTAGGCTACATACTATATACACAATGCAATTCCAGTTTTTTGACCTCCCTTTGCGTGACACCCATGCAAGATGTAACAAATGGTCATCTTGCATACAAAATAATTTAGTCTAGCACGGACTGTCGTGCCAAAAATACCCCCGCCGCCCTGTGGACATTTGACCACTTCAACTTGAAGGAGTCGCGTAGGCCACGATACATGTCTGCTTGTTCAGCAGCATATGCAAGCAAGCCCTCCTTGAGGGGACTGCTGTCGCTATCGTGCGCCCGTACGATCTGAGCACCATTCTCATCTGCCACCTCTGTCACCCCGACTTCACCCGGCAAACCCATCACACTCGTACGCGGCGTCTGACCCTCCCACCACGCTGCCATGAACAAAAATGTCTGCAATACGCGTTCCATCTCAACGCGCAGCAAACGAACCTCTTCTTCCCACCTCTGTGCTCGTGCCCGTGCCTTTAACCATTCAACTCGTACCCCTATAGTATCAGCTGCCATCAGATCTCCGTCTTCAGACTCAGGGCAATGAAACAGCTTACCATCATTCATGTCGCCAGTGAGAGTCCCTTCGGTGTCATCAGCAGCACCCTCCTCGCCGTCTTCTAAGCCGCCCGAATACCACAGCCAGGATATTTTCCGCCGACTCTCGCCAGACGTCACCTGTGGCGTCTCCGCCACATTCACCACCGGGCCCTCAGCCTCCCCATCCCCCGCATTCGCTTGAAGACGGGCTCGAATCGCCTCAATCTCCCGCCTCTCTATCTCCTGCTGCACCTTCTCGCCTAGACCAACAACATGTTCTGGTTTGAGTTCCCGCAGCTTGCGGTCAGCAGTCGCACCGGCCAATGCCACATACGCCTTCTGTGCCCGTCGATATCTCTCTGCTGCTTCATTTACTCGTCCCTCGATAGTCTTCTGCATGGTTCGGGCCCTCGTATTCGGACGCTGGCCTGTGACATTTTTGATCTTCAACTGGTTGATGTAAACGCGGAAGTGGAGTTGGCGGCGAAGATCCTGCAGGGCGTCCACGGCGCACGAGTAACGGATGTCGGTCTCCATCTGGACAAGCTCAGGGTCACAATAGATAAGGCGTTCGGCTTCATCGATGTTCGATGGCATGAAGAGCTGGATCGACTCGGGGTTGCGGGTCGTGACATCAGAGATAGATGGAGAATCGTCGGGTGTGATGACTATCGAGACACGAGGCATTTGAGTGTCCTGGTCCAGGCGATATCGCTGAATACGGCGAAGCAGATGTGTTCGCTGCTCTTGGAATGTTGTCCCCTGGTTGTCTGTGTTGACGCCTTTCGCGCGTTGTGCGGTGTCGTATCTGCGTAGCCATCGAGACAGTCAGATCACGACAAGCTACGAGTTGGAGGACTAGAACGTACTGCATATTCTCGATGCTGATACCTTCCGAGTAGAAATGCACTACGCCCCGGAACAACGTTCCTACGTTCCATAACGTTGTGGGCTTCTTCTTCCCCAAGTCGCTTCGTGACCATTGAGAGCGTTACTTCTAAACCCGCAAGCAGATCAATCAGCGCGGTACGGTAAGCAAACAAGGTTTAGAATTTACCTTCACCTTCCAAATCATAAGGGCTGTTCGCACCCATCCCATTCTTCTCCCACTCGAGAACCGATGCACGCCACTCGCGGACTTGATCCGGATGCGAAACTTTGAGATCCTCGGTAAATTCTTCGAAAATTTCGATGTGGCCCAAACCCTCTTCCATGGCGTGTGCCAAGCGACGGCGGAGGAGATGGCCTTCAAATATATCAATACACGATCAACCACGGCACAGTAGAGTCATCTCACCTAGCCCAATAAGTTTCTTCCAGTTCCCATAACCGCAATGATCGTCCAGAGTGTCGTGGCGTGATCCAGGCCCCATCTCCCTTGTACTAGGCGCCGCACCATTGAGCGCCGCCCAGTTTCGCTCGATGGACTCTCCGTCCGTCTCAGTGAAGTTGAGGGAGTGCGGTGCGGTGCGTGGCAAGACTGCTCGTGTGCCCAAAGGTGGAACTTTGGGATGTCCAACTCCACGGCTGCCTGTGCGATAGTGGGGCGAAGGCGCTCTGGGAGTCCTGCAAGGCGCTCGCTCCAGAACTTTTTCCTCCACTGGCAAATAACGTCATAGGTGATGAGGATGCAGAGGTTGAGGATACCGAAGATGACTGAGCAGAGGACGAAGTCCATGTTGCAATAGCTACGAAAAAAAATTTAAGGATTGTTATAAATTCAGCGGCGTGGAGTAGCGTACCGTTCGCCCTTCTGTAAGTCCCCAATTCCGGCCGGCCTCCAGAAAGAGTGTCGTGAACAGATAACAGCGCCAACGCCGGTTGAACGAAGGCCTTTCGAGTTCTTGCTATTTGCGTTCGAGAGAGCCTCAAAACCAGAGCAGTTGCTGATCTAAGACATTCGTTCAAGATCAGTATCGGAATAAGTACATTGAGAGACGATAACTCACCTCTTCCTCCGTTGCGTGCTTCAGTACGTGCTCCCGATACTCATCGTCGGCCACAAAGTAAGCCCAGCCAGTGCCGAGCCCTGGATCGGCACGACTGCGAGCACGAAGTCGATTCTTAAGCCGGAAGTTGGCGTCCATCGACAAGACCAGACGGTACAGCCACCTACAATACGGAGTAAGCATGGGCTGGACGAAAAAAAGTGGAGTGGAGAGCGAGATCACAAACCTATCAGTCTCTGGGACACTTTCCCATCCAGGTGCGAGATTCACTCCGGGTCGCGGGCACGCTGGGCATTGTACAGCAAGCTGACCTGGAGAAGTCGCCTCGATACCAGCAGGATCGTGACATCTGCCAGCTCGCTTCGCCATTTTGAGGTGGCGCCATTCTCGAGCCATCACCAAGAACGGCTCGAGGCGAGACTAAGAAACGGTGCAAGGAGATTTAACTTTAGCTGTATCTGGGAGTCAAATGGAAAACATACCGGAGGAAAACGAATACCTGTATTATCACTGGCCGCTTGGATAGCCTTGGTGAAGTCGTACGCAGTTAACTTGCCCTGCAGTGATAAGAGATGGAAAATGCGCATCGCTTCGAACGTGGCGCCTGTCTGTGGTTTATGGATCGTGGCGGGGAAAATGCCTGCTCGAAGAAGTTGGACGCGGCGATGAGTTTCGTGTTCGCCACAGCGGCAAACATCGAGGTTGACATAGTGAATCCCGTTCGTATGAATGACGAGGAAATTTTCGACGGTGAATGATGTGGGACAGCGTACTTGTCCGGGTAAGTGCGGTCCAAGAGGTATCACTATTCCGACGTTGGCCAAGGTCTCGTGGGCGAAGTATTGGCCAGTCCATCGCTTGAAAAATGCCTTAGTCTACCTGCTTAAAGAACCAGCCGTGAAACATGAATACCTTGACCCGGTGGAATGGATTTGATCTATGGCTCTCGATGGCGCAAGATACGTAAACAGGTCTCCTGCCAAAACAATCCTCGCATCGGATTGTGGGAGGAGCGCCACTGTGGCACGATGGACAGCTCGCATCGTTACGCCAGTAGCCACGGCCCTCGTAGCGAAGCAGCTCGTCAAGAAATTCAGGGCGATGTGGCAGCCAAGAGAGCAGCGGCCGCGGGGTAGTCTGGAGGCAACCTGAGCATGTGTGCCATTTGTTGATCAAGTGAATGTAGATACCTGGGTTGTCGTACCTTGCCCTGTGTTTACCCCTCCGCCAGCGTCACCGTCATCGTCAATGTTGCAAACATCAAGTTCGTCTTCATCATCGATTTGAGCCTGTCGGTGCGTATTTTCCACGTCCTCTTCGAACCATGGATTGTCGAGGGTGAAGTCGTCAAGATCAGGTGTCTCGAACAGGTCCGAAGTCGAAATGCAAGGAGATTGTGGGCCTGTCGATGGAGTTGCAGCGTGACTGTGGGCATTGGTAGACCGTGAGAGGCGAAGAGTGACTTCCTCGCGGATCAATCTGCATCCATCCGTTGATGCAGTGAGCGTAAAGGTGCTTGCACTTTGATCTTGCTTTGGCGCACTGGCCACCACTGGCTCCGGGCAGATGTTGGGGCGCTTGCGAGATTTCTTCGCTCGTTCCATTAGACAGAAAGAGTGTGACCAGAGGAGGAGCGGAATTTTTGCTGCAGGCGAACACTGACATTGAAGGGATTCAACAGGACCCCTGCGTATGCTGACGGAGGTCCCATCCTGATGCGACGAATTTTGAGCGAAAAATCGCGTTTCGTCCGATCCGTAGTGCGACGAAAACGGCTTTTCGATGCTGATGTTCCATCCCGCTATGCGACGAAAATGTCTCTCGGGGACGCAAAAAATGGGGTAAAAACTTGGCAAACACGGCCAAAAACATGATTTGGGGAAATTTTTTGACGACCAGGGTTTGGGAAGGCCTTATGCGGAGCGATGTTCCATCCGACGTGCGACGGAAATGGCCAAAAATCCGATGTCCCATCCCTGATGCGACGAAAACACCCCCAAAATCGTGCGACGAAAACGACCGATTTTGGGGGTTTTCGGATGGGACCTCTGTCAGCATACGCAGGGGTCCTGATTCAACAAATCCCACGCGACAATGAACGGCGATCACGTGGGGCGTGTCAAGCATGTGGTACATTCAGTCCTTGCAATCTAGTCATCGGAGCACACACTCATCTCTGCTCCTCACAACCATCTGAGTATTATAGTAGATAGAACGGTATAACAGTACTAAAACATGGACAGAAAACTTCAAAGTAATGTAAGGACATGCTGGCAGGACATGGGCTACATTGCTCGCCATGTCCTCAATCGCGATGGGAGCGTTTTGCCTCGTTGAACTGCAAGGTCTCCGGGATAGACGGGGATACAGGCGTCAAGGGGATGGATCTTCATAACGTTCACAGTATCAGCATATGAGATCTGCTGGAAACGTGGGGTTGCACATCGCTCGTTCCGAGGTAGACATAAACTTAGAAAACTCACTAAGTGTGATAAGCCGGCTAGAATGTGCCAGCCTTTGTCCCTTTACAGATGTTCGTGCATGCCGGACGGTCCCATAGACGGACTAGGAAAAGGTAACATGGTGCCATGGAGGAGTCAAACATCGGAAACACCGAGACGATGGCAGATGTACGCACCTGCAGCCGGCCTCAAACCACGGTAAAGCAACTGGATCTGAAGGCGTACTCGTTAATGGGACAAAAGTCGAAGCCTAAAACATAGTCTATGCACATATGTAAGACGGGCAAACAAGAACTGCTTGTATCTACCGGTGTGGGTGATAACACGACATTGCTTTCGAAACCTGGCCAGAATCGAAGGATGGATCCGCAGGGGAGTTCAGGGAGTCTACGCCGGTGTTGGTAAGTGTCTGCCTAGAAGGACGTCGTAGCGTAGGCTGTCAGCAGTAGGTGGCGTGGAGCTGCTGGGATGTCCGAACTGTTATAAGGTGACAGAGGAAGTTCACGAGCAGAGCTTGAAGTCCGTGAGAAGCGTTGAATGGGCGATGTGGCAAGCAGTGCCACAAGTCACATGATGGTCCGAAATCTTGTTACCTTGCTTGCAAGGTCTCTCCCACCCCGGTAATTGTGGCTGAGCGACTTTTTCGCACACAAAGCCAAACAGTTTGCGTAAGCTTTTCTCACATTTTTGTGGCACCCCTCACTCAATGCAATCGCGTACTTGATTACCGTCATCAGGACGGAGCAATTTCTATTTGCCCTGGATATACAGTTTTTGTACATGCCCAGCATGTTTCGCGAAAGTATGCTCGATATCTGCGCAACGCGCTCAGGCCTGAAGGGCTATCGACGCCACAATGAATCAAGCCGATGCTTCTCCTGAGGCCTACGTACGCTTCGAGGCGCTGCTGCGGTCAGCGAAGCAAGAAACCTGACATCAGTGGCCATCGCAACGTGGATGTATTGTGCAGATTTAAAGGCTGCCTCTAATACGAGTTGAACACGCGTTTGCGAGCCATCTGTGGCGCGACTCTTGCGTGACCATCCAGAAGTAATTTCCGGTACTGAATACTCTGCAGTATCGCTAACAAAGTTGCTACTGCAAATAAAGTGCACATAAATATTGAGCATTGGTAGATATGCCATTGTCAGAAGAGGTCTCTCAAGCAAGGTCAGTGCCACAGCATGTGGAGCTTCCCTAGTTACGTTGTTTCGTCTTATGTCAAATTCCTTTGCTCTGGTCGACACTATCGTGTTTTTGTGACGCTGTTCTCTCCGGCCCTTTCCCATGGGGCCTGTTTTCGAAATCCTCATGTATATCACCCCCAATAAAAGGCATGGCCTATGCTAAGAAAAATTTACACGCGATCTCATACTCATGCCAAGTTTCTGAGCCAATTTATTTTGGTTTATTCTACAGGAGTGCCGAGAACACATATAAGTATCCTACCAGCAAACGTCGCAGTAATCGTCTGAGCGTCGCTGTCAGCTGTGGCCGTAGCCGGGCTGGCCACATTGCTGTTAACGTTGCCCGCGAACGAGGGGATTAGGCTCCTTCCTTCTCCTTCCCAAGTTCCTTGTCCTTTACCATACTCAACAACCTAATCGTCCCATCCTCAAAAATCCTATTCAGTACCGGATCCTCCTCCTTGACCTCCACCTCCGCCGCCGCACCTTCCTGCTCGCTCCTCGCCAAATTCTGGATAACCTCCCAGACCCCGGCCTGATCCCCAGCCGTACTCTCATACGTAGACCTCAACGCCTCCTGTATGATCTGGATAGGGAAATAAGTCTTAGGTTTTGTAATCCCTGAGATTTGGGTCTCGAGCCCTTCGTCTCGATGCCGAACTTGGCTATTCATCGCCACCAGTCAGTACAGACATTCATATAATTTAGAACGGCGGTAAAGCAAGAAACGAAGAGACATACCAAGCTGGTCAATCATCGCTTGGATCCTATTACACTCCTTAACCCTTTAGTTCGCAACCCACAATCCTCGTCGTGCTCGTCGGACTCCCATCTACGAGCTCCCTCCCCTCCAGCGGTGCTCCCGCCGCCACCGCCGCCAGCACACTCGCCGTCAAAAACGCATCCGTCATCGGCTCCATATCAATCAGTCCAATCGCCTTCAAAGTCCCCAGCTTCGGTCCTCTGACCGTCGTCTCCGTCTCCGTCTGCACCACCTCGCACCCCATAGGCTCCAAGACCTCTTTAGCGAACCGGGCGTCGCCTTGGAGAGAAGAAGATCCGATATTGCAGATCGTGCAGGAGGAACCGGCTATGACGGCGATGGCGAGAGGATAGGTAGCGGAGCTAGCGTCAGATTCAATGCTGTACACGGATGGGTTGGTGTACGTCCCCTTCTGGATGGTGTACACATCGAGAAGCTTGCCAGCAGCGTCGGTCTCGCGCTGGACTTCGATGCCGAACGTCTTCATCATCGCAATGGTCATGTCGATGTAAGGCTGCGAGATGACCTGGCCACCAGTCAACTCGAGGGTGACTTGTTCGGCGGTATAAGGAGCGCATAGTAAGATAGACGAGACGTATTGCGAGGAGACGGTCGCTGCGAGTTGGATTCGAGATCTTTTAAGGCCGGCAGGGGCGATGGAGAGGGGGAGACAGCCTTGAGATTCGAGGTACTCGATGGAGGTATCGTTGGCGCGGAGAGCGTCTACGAGAGGGCCGATGGGGCGTTGTTTCATCCGAGCGTTACCAGTAATGATGGTGGTGGGCGCGAGGACGGAGGGTTGGATGAGAGCGCAGACGGTGGTGAGGAAACGAGCGGCGGTGCCGGCGTTCCCGAGGTAAATCTCCTTGCCTTTGGGAGGAACGGAAAGGAAACCTTCACCACCATGAACGACGAGGGTCTCTCCACCATCTTCCCATGCGAAGCTGGCACCCTGAAAAAAAATGTCAGAACCATGATAAGGAAAAAAGAGACGAGAGGACGTCGTACCTTGAGCTCAGCGGGAGCGGCCATCATGACCTGGGTGTCGTCCGAGTGCAACAGGTTGCTCAGCCTGCAGGTGCCCTTCCCCAATGCAGCGAGCACCAAAGCGCGGTTCGAGATACTCTCCGACCCAGGTGTAGCCATCCTGATAGGATCCTGACTCGGTTTCCCTGGCACGACCTTCGCCGCCTCCGAAAGCGTCTTCGCAATAACGCTGTCCTTCACCACACTCGCCTTCTGATCGCATGTCTTCCCAATCGCGCTCAGAATGACGATCTTCTTCTCCGGTCCACTGTTCGTATTGTCAATCTTCATGATATCCAACAGCCTATCTACCGTCAACAACCTCGAGCTCGGTAAACTCGCGATATGCGGGTCCGTGAGCGATACGGGTAGGTTAATTATATGCTTTCAACGCTCTCGTCAACCCACTCCGACCTGCCCCAACTTCCCCAACTGCCTCGCCACCTCCGCTTCGAGGATCATACCGACGGCGACGCACTCGCCGTGGAGCATATTGGGCGTGAGGATAGCCTCGATGGCATGTCCGATGGTGTGCCCGAAGTTGACTAGGTCACGAAAACCGGTGAGTTCGCGCTCGTCATTCGTCACGATGTGGGCTTTGACGGAGATGGAGCCGGCGATGACGGAGAGGAGGAGGTCTTGAGCGGCGGAACGTGTGGATTTGGTGCGTCCGGAGTAGTTTTGGGAGGGGGTTCGAATGGTGGCGAAGATTTCGGCTGAGCGGGATTCGAGGGCGGCGAATTCATTTTCGTCCCAGATGGCAGCTGTCTGTTAGATATGCTCCGTTAGTTTCATACAATCTGAAAAGAAAAGAAGTAGGTGGTCCGGAGATTTAATGTACGTTTGCCACAAGTGTGGCCCACGCCACACGGAGATAGGATAAACGGTCCATTGCGACAGGGAAAAGGGATACAACAAGAAAAAAACAACGAAGAGCAGAGACAGGAATCAAAAATAAAAGGAAGGCCGTGTGAACCGAAAAGGTAGATATGCTTACTTTTACAACCTCAGCCATGCCATTGGAAAACTCGCGAGCAGGGAGCGTTTCCAGGAAGGCAAACATCAATGAAGATGTATTCCGGCTGCCAGAAGGCGCCAATCAGATTCTTCCCATGGGGCGTATCGATGGCAGTCTTGCCGCCCGCACTCGAGTCAACCATGGCGAGCAAAGTGGTCAGGATTTGTACGAAACGGCACCCGCGCATACTGCACTGAGCACGTTAGAAATCGAGCATAGTTCGTAACGACTGAAATTACGCACAAGGTAGCAGCTACAAATCCTACCAGATCTCCGATAACACCTCCACCAAGGGCGAGGACGACGGTGTCCCTGGTGCATCGGTTGAGGAGCAAAAAGTCCTCCTCTTACGGAATCCTCAGGACCAGTGCCAGTTAACTCCTGTGCCACACTGTGTCGTTTTGCTGATGGAATAGTACCGACTACGAAATGATCTCGTCCCCCACATCATCGAGCATTGCCCACGGACGAGGCGGCTAAAGGTAACATCTCGTTTAGCAGCGTTGAGCTTCATTCCGGCTCTCACTACTCTACTGGTAAGCGGGCGGACGAAGAGGGCGTCATAGCAACGGGTGGAGAATCGAGTGCGGGGAAGGAGGGCGATATCGCCGGACGGATTTCGTGACGCGTACTTCGTATAGGGGTAGTGTTCGACGAGTTCGGTGAGGCGGCGGGGCATCTTGTGGGTTGAGGCTTCCTCCCTACAATGATAGTACATATCAGCAAAGATTGCGCGAGAAAATCGGTGAGATAGAAAGACGTTGAAAAGGAGGTCATAACGAACGTACCTAATCCTCGCCAAGAGCAGATGTCCCAATACCCTCCCGACCTTCTCCCACCGTTCATAGAAACTCACCCACCCATCTCTGCTCTTGCTCCTACTCGCCGCAACCAACCGCAGTCCTATCATCATACTGAACTTGGCACCACTGGACCCGTTCGCCTCACCATGTGCTGCCAGCGACGATATCACGTCCAAGAGCGCTACAAGCAGCTCGGCGTGATCTTCTGGAAGAAGTGGGACGAGGGATTGAGAGAACGCGGTGGGTGGGTAGTTGGAAGAACGTTCGGCACGGGAGAAGGACGTATACCATGATAACTCGTCGTCTGTGAAAGTATTATTGTTCACGTCGCTACTGGTGGTATGGGTATTCGTAGATGGGGAGGTGGGATTAAGAGCGGGACGACCGAAGGAATTTCCTTCGAGTTTGAGGTGACGGAGACCCCAGCGCAGGACGGCAGCAACATCGTGTGGCGAACGCGCGTAGGAGGGTTCGGACTGGGATGCGGCGAGGGCATCAGCAGATACGGATGGGGTGGAAGAGAGCGTGTTCGTAGGGTTGCTGGGAGCCAAGGATAGAATAAAGACAGATATGAGTCCTGTACGTGATATCAATGAGTACGATCTTCGAATAGTAGGAAAAATAAGCTTACTCCGCTGTACTTCGGGAGACGCGGAATACCAAACGATCCGCCAACATTATATCCCACCACCGGTATATATGGATTCATCTCGTTGAGTATATTAAAGTCCTTGCGCATGTTGTGTGGAGCTGGAGGAAAAATGGGATACGCACCGGTATTTATAATTCTCGTCCTTCACCCAGTTCGTTTCTTCGTCTCTGGCATCCTCCCCATCCATTGAGAACTCCGATCCCATCCTAGCTTCAAGACCTGCGCATCACCTGGGTTCGAGTCTCGGCCGCGTTGGTATTCGTTCAATTTCAAGCCGTGGCGATGGACGGTGACGATTGATGTCGATGACCTCGATGACCAAGGATGTGCATAGAGGCATGTCAGCGAATGGTCAGTGCGCTTGTGGACAACTGAAGCAAGGGGGCAAGAGGTGAGTTCAAGGCTGAAGCAAGATGCGGTGATGGGAAACCAGACGGTGGCGGCGGGGTGGCCCACTGCGGATCAGCGTGACTGCGTGACATGTCGGGTTTGCACTATTAATATTGTAAGTTAGCGGGCATCTTCAAAACGATGAGATATTGCTTTCAAGTACTTTTCTTATCACGCACGTTGTCCCTCGCATTCTCTTGTCTTGGTACCATCTCTTTGAACCCACACAGTATGCTTTACTGACTGTTTTTTTTTTTACCTACTTCGAGTTTTTCCATGGACCAGGGCCATCAATATCCCACCGACTCTCAGATTGACATTGCGACATGAAGCCGCCGACTCCGAAGAATTCTGCGTATCCGGATCAAACTGTCGAGGGCCTCAGATGAAGCGGCCCTACATTTATCGTCAGCCGTGACCCTGCGAAAACGTGGCGAGCTGAGGTACAGAGACTGTGGTAGGAATCCCATCCTTCTTCCAAACATGCCGTGGTTTACAATATTGCCTCGTTCTCTGGCGCCGATCTGAGTGCTTTTCTTCTGCTGGTAATTATATGCGCGAGCTGCACCATTCCAACCATGTTCAACCTCATCACATCCACGAAGATAACCTCGACCAGAATAACAGCTCGGTCATGACGTACCCCTCCATATATTGTTCGAGGTGAGCACGATCGCCCTTCTTTAGCCTTTTTCTTTTCTGCTTTATGAGTCATGGTAAGAACTAAAGACTTCGTCGTTTCTAATGTGGGGCCCGAAGGACAACATGATGATTATAATATGTAGCCATACCCACGATGAAAACCCCTGCCCTACCAATGGTGTTCCTCACCCATACCCATTATCTGTGCGCAATATCTGCTCCAACACAGTCACTGATCTAGGCTAATCCGATACTTCCAACCTTCCGACGACACCCACCCGCTATTTTTTTTATTGCGCTGTATGATGCGACTTCACCCGTACTGTGATGATGATGCGAACTTTTGGGCCTGTCTCTGTGCTTCCATACTTTATCGAGAAGATGTCAGAACGGGAGAGGGACGTCCAGTCGTTATAACAAGTGAACGCCACACCAACGCCACACATTCTTTCAGTCCTGCGAGGAAACACATCCGCACGCGCCCAAGATTGTAGTACCGTCGCATTTCAGCCATAGGCCTTCCAGCATTCTCACTAGCGAGAACCAAAGCCGCAGTAATGAACATTTCGATGACCGCGTTCTTCACCATGAGCTCGATGACTTCTACCAGACCCTGAATGCGACGAGTCCTCCCTATCTTCACATTGATCATATATGACATTTCGGGTCCGTCCGCCACGCATTCCACAACTCCCAACTCGTCAAACTGAGCACCATAGCTCTCGTCGGTATCAGTCAAATAAACCCTCTCAATATGCAGCTCCCATTTCACAACCCAACCCAGCATTTTGATCTTACTAAATAAGATCGTTTGAGCGTAACACTCCAGGAGGGGTTGTAACTCTGTCTCAGCCAGCTGACACTTCAACTTATGCTGTTCTAACCTTGAGTTTGGCTGGGAATGCGATCTAGACCGAGAGAGGGAGAGGGAGGGTAGCTTCGCTGGTCGCGGTGTCGACAGTGGAGGAAGACGCGGTGGAGCCGTTCCAGTTGATGTCATATAGATACATGGGGTAAACGACATCGCCAAAACTGGAAACGTCGAGAACGAATCGTTAGATAGCATAGGGTCACCCGGGCCTGTAGCACCCACATAACTCTGCCCTTGCCGCTCTCTCCACTTCCGCCTCCTCCAATCTCTGACCGCTACCGCTCTGTGGCCAAACTCTGCGTCGTAGGCCTCGATACCGCGCTCGGTGCCAAGAATTCCATAGTATTGGAGGTAAGGTCGATGATCCTGTACGCGTGTTCGCGCTGGTAGGCTTCCGTCCCTCCATTGTAGCTGCCCCAATGAGTGTGCTCGCGTGCGCGGTGTAGTAGGGGGGGAGTACAGGGTGGAGGAAAGATCCGCGTCTGGACTGGGAGATGGTTCATAAGAAGAGACTGAATTGGAGCGATGCGACGACGGGTTACATTTTCCGCGTTTCAGTGCAGGCAAAGCAACCGTCCGATCCATGAAATGCGACGTCGAGCTCATGAAGAATAGTACCGAAGTCGAAACCGAAAACATCGCACAGTCGGACTAATACTAATGTTGGTGAACGACCTTGGTCATGCGAATTGTAGTTAGTAGCGTGGCGGTTGTGACCGTCATGATGAATGAGATGCACCTTGCTCTTGCGAATGGTCCCGTTCTAGAAGTTCATCGCCGACTTCGGTTTCCTTGGTCCGGCCCGTCCCAACCATATACGTCCTGACTACCCCCCACGACCGTCCTGGAAGCTGAACCTATCTCTAACTCCAACTCTAGAGTGCAACCATACATATGCTCAGTTTGAGCGTACGAATGCGTGAAATCGGACCACTAGGAGACGATGCACAAGTTAAGGATGTGTTGGACGGATGCGGCGAGGAAGAGGAGGTGTAGGGTGAAGAAGAGGGAGCCTTGTTAGTTGAGGTCTACGACGGGATAGGGATAAAAAGAGTGACATTCCGTCCCGAACTCAAATCATAGCACAGCCCGTCTGTCAGTCTGCCTTAAGTGCGCTTGGACAGCCTTACAGATATGTACATGCTACGGGTTCCTGGATGGATGAACGATGAGAGAAGATGATGGAGCTGCGTCGCTGTCGTCGCTCGCAATGATGGAAAGACCTCGTATCTTCTAAGGGGCGCCGGTCCGACTGGGTCTTGTGCCACCATCGACGGTCTCATACGGCACACGGACAGTGGTCGGCATCTTCACTCGAAGCGCCAAGATGTATGCCATCGAATGGCCACCCTAAGGGCGTGCAAGGGCATGCATGAAGTATTGTTCCTCGTAGTCTATCGCCGTTCGGTTGATGCATGGCTAAATTATACGACATACACCGCCGGGCATCAAGCAGGCATAGCATAAAGACCGGGATAATCATGAACATTGTTGCAGTAGGGATCACTGGTACATGACTCCTGCGTTCAGGGCTTAGGGGTCAGTAGCAGGCAGGGGGTAGTCGCACCTGATAGTAAAACATGAGCATCACACCATACATACGTCAATGGCGAGCATCCTGAAGTTGATCTCCAATGTGGGAAACCGCAGATGTTTTAAAAGGCATATGCAACAGCTAGATTCGCGCTCGAGACAATCAAGACATCGACATGCGACTAATGATGCTTCAGAGAAGAGGTGGTTAGACCATATACGAATACAATCGCAAAACTACATACTTCGCCAACTTGTTAGAAGGGGCCGCATCACGTCCACTGGAGACAAAGTCCAATGTCCTCCGTGAATTTAGCCTGAATATAAGATGATCATATTCAATGTAAATTCTGTATATCTCTGCCAGCGACATTCTGATCATTTTACCAATAAAATTTCGCATAGCATCTTTCTTACTCGCTCGATGATAATTTAAGTATTACCTTACAGGGCATGCAGAATGTTTTCGAGTTTGTTTTCAAAAATTTTGATAAGATTTTAGTCTAAATAAATTCTCGCTCAGACCACGCGCCCTTTTCTCAATAACCTCGGAGAAGCTAGGGAGAGTTTTTCGGAGTTCATATTACAAATATGTTCGTATTTATGGCGGTAAATCTAGTCGGGACTCTATGTGGATTATGTCGCGACGTCTCAACATCTCGACGCAAACCGCCTGGACATCGCACCATCGCATGGCAATAACATGCCACGTCAAATCTTCACATGCCTCTCGCAGCCAACCCTCTGTCTTGCGACTTGTTTCCATCGTGCTTGCGACCCCCCTTGATGTCGTCATCTGAGCACTCGAGGATTGTGAAGGACTTCGCCTCGTCACATCTCTATAACGCCACTCGCCCGTACGCTCACTCGACGTTTCCGACAGAATTTTGGTCTCTTGTGGACCAAAATAGACACAGATTATCTCGCTTACACCTGAAGCTGTCGTCGCCAGCTATAAGCGCCATGGGCCATGTTGACGATGCATATCAACACGGAGGTTGGAGATGGAAAGAAGTGAGTGATGAGGGGCGGAGCGTATGATGAGAAGCAACGCGGAGAAAGCAACGCACCATGGCACTTAGCTTGCCCCAGCAATCATTGCTCAACAGCGTCTCGGTCACCCACGTCCTGATCGCTTCCGAGTCCTTCTTGCGAGTCGGCAATTGATTCCTTGAAATCCGCGCAAGAGAGTCCGTGAGTTAATCGCCCAACGTCAAGATAGTCAAAAAAACAGACGAAAGAAAGGAATGGGTACTGCTTACTGATCATACTATAGTTGCATCGCCAACAGCGTTGTGAAAGCACTCATATGGTGGCCTTGCCACTCGCCCTCACTCGCCACTCACAGTTTGTGCCACCCGGAATCTGCCGGAGACGCTCAGGTTCCTCCTGAACGCCGAACACGATTCCTTCCTTCCAGCCTTCGTCTTCGCCTCCTTTCATCCTCAGTTTTCTACTTGGCGGCGCTGATGACTCTGACGGATCCAGCTGTAGGTGCACCCAGGGCTTTTAACACGGTAGCTATCAGAAATCATGTCGAACCAGTGTCGAACTACTCAGACCAGCACCTGCAGCTGGCACTGGATTAGACGCATAGCGGCTCTTTCAGGACATCCTTGAACGATTATGACCATGGAAAGTCCGAGGGGAGTACCAGCAGTTGAGGCTGAGAGTGTTCAGATGATGATACGGTACGTTTCTTTCTCTCTCAACAGATTTATTTTATCGTCTGGACGTTGAGAGATGTTAGAGGACAGCTACTGTATGAGTCGCGACATGCTCGATCATGTCCGTTCGGTAGTTCGAGATGCCATCAACAGACAACATGGAAGCATCTGTCCCTCTGCCGTCGATGTCGTTACATCGATCGCATATCCACACACTACTGATTATTTGTAGTTCTCTATGTTTTTTATGCTTTTGTCCACCAATATTTTACTCGTTGCAAAGCAAGTCTCTTGTTCGTAGGATTGCATGAGTTTGAAACATGCATGTATCCATATTTCCTCGGTGCGTATTGCCATATGACCTCTTCCTTTCCCCATTCTCGCACGGTCGGGCTTCTCATCTTCTATTCCTTACAGCATCAACGGCCTCGCGGAAGGCCCTTGCAGGTTATCCGCTGTCAAGGGTCACTCGATTGCCGTCATCCACTCACCGGCCTCGAGCAAACTTACTGCATCGACCAGTACGTGGAAAAACTCATGTTTGGGTTTACAGCTGCCACTTATGTTTTGGGTCTAGTTTTCCCGCAGATGATTGTCGTGTTCTCTGAGTCCTATCATACAAGCGCTGAAAGACCCCTGGTGGATATATATAGGAAGACTCTGCTGGTCGACGGACTCAACCTTCGCTTTGATCTTGTCTCGTCCAAATATGACCACCAATCTCGCAGCCGTCGCAGATAAAACTTTCGACTATGTCATTGCGGGTGGAGGGGTGCGTTATCACATTTTAGGATCGCTACGCCAGCGTGTTGATCCATCTGGACACCGTATCTTGTGCTCTACAGACAGCGGGACTCACACTCGCCAACCGTTTGACCGAGGACCCGTCCATCTCAGTAGTCGTCCTGGAGGCAGGAGAACCGAATGTCGGGGACTCGAAGATTGTCGTCCCCGGCCAATTCGGAGCGACGTTCGGAGATCCAAAGGTGCGCTTCCGTCTCAATTCCTCTCTCATGTTGTGGGACTGGAGTGCTGATATATCTACACACCATCTGTCAGTACGATTGGTGGTTTCCTACCACGAAGCAGAAGTATTCAAAGGACAGAGTCTTCAACTGGGCGCGTGGGAAGGGATTGGGTAAGTCGTGGCGAGCTTTTGTCTTTACTCCTGTGCTGAACAGTCCATGATCCCTAGGCGGAAGCTCGTGCATGAACTTCTATGCCTGGAGTAAGCCCCCTGCGGGCGACGTGGATGCGATCGAGAAACTGGGGAACCCAGGCTGGAACTGGAAGAGTTACTTCGAGTATACCAAGCGAAGCGAGACGTATGTTCTTCTTATACTGAGTCCGTGCACCACTCTCTCACCGGTTCATCCTGGACCCCTTCACAGCTTTCATAAGGCGTCTAATGAGCAGCTCGCGGCTTACCCTCACACGGTTGATCCTGATCACCGCGGTACAAACGGTCCAATTCAGACAACCGTACCTCATGCGGTCGCTACGATCGATGCACTATTCCAGGAGACGATGGTAAAGAAGGGAATCAAGGCCATCAAGGATCCCTATGGAGGAGACGTGAGTTTCTTAACCTTTCGATATCCAGTCCAGTCGGCTGAACGAATGTTTCTACCTTCGATCTAGATTACCGGAACATGGATGGCCGCGGCGAATTTAGATCCTAAAACCTGGACACGGTCGTACGCTGTGACGGCGTACTACCTTCCGGCAAAGGACCGTAAGAACCTGACCGTGAGTTATTTTATCTGGTCCGTAATTCGACTACGGTCATCTGAGATGCCCTTGTAGGTCCTGACTGGCGCTACTGCTTCACGAGTGCTGTTCTCCGACAAGGTCGATGGCAAGGACCTCACTGCTACTGGGGTCGAATTTCTCTTTGGGTCGAAGCCGTACACCGTACACGCATCGAAAGAGGTCATCCTTTCTGCCGGGTGCGTTCACTTCTCTCTGACTTCCAAAGGCTACATCACTCCCGCTCATGTGTGAATAAACAGGACCATCAAATCGCCTCAGATCCTGGAGTTGTCCGGTGTTGGCCGATCCGAAGTCCTCTCCTCTTTAGGGATCGACGTGAAGATTGACCTCCCTGGAGTCGGCGAGAATGTTTCGGACCACGTGTATGTTATGTGCCCTGACATTATCTATAACGGGTCTGATGTCCCCCTCCATCGTAGGTACCTTGGCGCGTCTTACGAATTAGATGGACAAACGGCACATGAGACATACGACAGGATGCGTGATCCAGCGTATGCAGCTGAGGCCTTTGCTCTTCGGTAGGTGTTGGTAGCTCTATACACGGTTTATATACTCATCGCTTTCCTGGTCCGTACTAGCGCGAAGGGACAAGGCATGGCTCGGATCGGTATCACTTCTTTTGCCTACATTCCCATCTCTGCCGCCACATCCTCACAAGAAACCAAGCGGCTGTACGAAAAGGCGGAAGCAGACGTCGAGAAGCAGAAGAAGGCCCTTGGTGATAAGATTCCACCGAGCCTCGAGGAGCAGCTCAAACTTCAGCTGAAGACACTCAAAGACGATACGCTACCGGACCTTGAGTTCATTGCGTTCCCGGGGTTCTTCACGACCGAGAGTGAGTACAAAATAACCTGTGGAACACTCTGCTTAGGTCCTGATGATGTATGATGATACAGCGGCGCCTGAATCAGGAAAGAGCTATGTCACCATCCTTATCGTGCTCAACCATCCGTTCTCCCGAGGAACTATTGTAGGCAGTTGTTTACCTCAGCGCAACATCAGGATTATACTCACACGTTGTCTCGTTTACAGCATGCGGTGTCAAGGAACCCGATGGACCAGCCCGAGATAGACCCTCACTACTTTGAGAACGACTCTGGTGCGTGATCATGCTCTGCGCTCGTTTGATGGCGGAACGTTCGTGTTCTGACTTCCTCCCATTGCCTGGGTAGATCTGGAGAACCTGGTGCAGCACATCAAATTCATCAAGAGTATGGAGAACACCGAGCCTTGGAAGTCGGGCACTGTGAAAGCTCTTGACCCTGCCCCGAATTGCACCACGGATCCCGAGATTCGCGGTGAGTACAGTATATGCTCGGCCCTTCGACTAAGCATTTACGGGATTTGTACAGAATATATTCTCAACAATCACGGTACCTGCTGGCGTACGTCCTCGCTGTGCTAAACGTTCGTCTGTGATTTCTAATCGTTGCTTGATCCGCTTCAGACACCATCGGGAGCTGCTCTATGTTGCCTCGAGAGAAGCATGGTGTGGTTGATCCTAAGCTCAAGGTTCGTGTATCCTGATTGGGAAAGACAGCCACTCTCTGACGCTGAGTTGATCTGTGTTATTCAGGTCTATGGGACGACCAATCTTCGCGTTGTCGACATCTCCGTGATCCCCATCCATATCGCAGCGCACACGCATGGTATGTACCATTTTCTTTTCGCAAGGTAGTCATAGCCTCATGAACGTATATTCTTTCATAGCTACGGCGTATGTCATTGGAGAGAAAGGTTCGTTGATTTCACACAGGACACTAATGTCGAAGTTTTGGCTGATCAAGACAACACCTCTTTAGCGGCCGACATTATTCGTGGGCGTGTGTAAGGCCAATGTGCAAGTGAATGCTGTTCGACGCGTGAAAGATGAGAAGGTCTAGAAATGAGGCCGACCAGGATTCCGTTCGGTGTGGCTCACTTGAGAAGGACCCTATAGCTCACGTTTTGAATGTTTGTAGAGTATTCTATGTTTGTCCGCAAGTAAATTTGGACTCGCGTCGTCGTCATCAGTCGTAAGCTCAGTGGGTTGTGACTCCAAGGAAGTTCTCACACACTGACGAGAACTCTTCACCTGTTCGAAAGTGGGTCCCGCGGTGTCCCTCTCTCGCCTGATATGCGGGCCGAGTTTTTGTTAGCTCTCAGTATTTACGGTGTCTCCAATTGGCGGGATACTCGACAGCCATGGACATAGAACCCGGGGTAATGAGTTGACTATACGAGCGAGATGTGGCAGTGCTTGGTGTCTACCGTTGAATGGGGGCAAGAGGTGGTCCTCCCTCATATGCAGCCACAGTTCGCATGGTTCCTGTATCCTAAGTACCATCCGACATCAAATCACCACAAATGGGTATACAAAACGAGTCATATCGGGAGCTGTACCATCAAAATCCATTGACCTTCACCGCCTCAGAATCCACAGGCCGTATACCGTAAGGGTCAGGCTCAGTAGCAGAGTGTGATCGTCCACCGAACTTATCATCTTCGGGCCGTTCGGATTCTATGTAGGTCTCCATCTGAACCTCGCGCTCGACGGCGATGTTGACTTGGGTAGGCCGGACGCTATTGTTGGCGGGGGCGAAGCGGTTGGTCTGCGGAAGGATGAAGGAGCTTCGTGATGAGAAAATATGGAGAGAGGATGGAGCGACGATAGAGACGAATGAGTACGAACGGAGAGGTTGAACGAAGTGTCGCCCTTCGGACCTGACATCTCCTCGCGCAGCTTTACTCGCGAGTTCAGGGTCTAGTAGAAGGAATAAGTTCGGCACTAGAGGTAATATAGAGCAAGCATCGACAACGTAAAACGTACCGACAAGAGAGTGTTGCTGGAGACATGTTGGCGTTCGTTCAGCGATATCGTTCGTGTTTGAATGTGAATTGCACTGAGACGTACGTATAGATGCGACCCATTGGCTTTTAAAAATCGTGAATATCATATAGCTCGTAGTATGCCGTAGAAAGAATCCTACCAGGGCAAAGATGAGATGAAAGTTTGTGCTCTGCAACGCCGACTATACGCAACGATGGGATACGACGGGTTAGAACTGACCATTGTGACGACGGATGAAGAGATGGCTGCAGAACTCACAAAGCAAATGAGGTCCATGATCTAGTTCGTTGAAAGTACACCATCAATAATACGCTCAACGTCCTGGACCGTTTGTGTGAGGCTTCACATACGCAGAAAAAACTCCCGAATGCGGCCGTCTCCACTGCGCTCTTGATGATCTTAGTGACTACGTTCTTGGTTCCTAGCAGTGAACAACGGTGGGAGTTGGCATGGTCATCTGTTGATAGGCCCAATGCGACCAAACGTACTGTGGTAGGAACTTGAGCTTCTCGATAGGTACATGAAAAGTAAGACACTGGCAGCGGATGAGTTTGACTGCCGTTATGAACCAGTACGAAGGGTACATACGTGATGCTGACATCAACGACGACGGCGAGGGCGAGCCAAGTATCCACAAGAGGAATGAGCTTTCCGAAGTCATTGATGCTAATGGTGATCAGTCGGTACCCAACCCATCCGATGACGGTGACGGACATACTTGGGAGTCATAACAGCACCGGTAGCGCCAGCGATACCAAAAGCGCCCTGCGCTACCGAAAGAAACACGATGGCGGCAAAAATCTTCCAAGAGCCAGAGAACTGCTTGATCCGGTAGGCAAGGAATATTTGAATGGGGACAGAGGCACTGTCATGATCGAAATTTTTGAAGTTGAGCGAAAGCCTGGTTTTAAGTTGGCTAAAAAGCACTCACCACACTGTGACGATCGGCGTGGAGGGAAATGGCCAAGGAGCTGCGGTCAATATCTCCGGATTGTTGAAGTTAGTCCTGTAGGGCATATTGAGCACGATAAAAACACAGATGGGTAGAACTAGGCGCACACAACATAATCCCACAGCATATATACGCTAGCAGCTACATGAAAGGTGTCGAGCAAGAGCACCCACGCGACCAAAGCCCTGTGCATGAGTGAGAAAAAGCTACTTGGGTTCTGTGTACGAGGGGTGCTCACTGGATCAGTTTCTTGTCCTGGAAGCCTGCAGAGTAGTACGTGCTGAATTGAACGACGCAGATACCGTACAAAAAGACATTTGTTACGGTGGCCACCACGACGGGCCCGAGAATGAGCTCAATGGCGACCATGAATCGGAGGTGAAAGGAGCGGATGAACGATTTTGCGTGTTGAACGAGAGAGTGGACCCGAGGGAAAATGAAGGGTAGGGTACCAAGGCTGCTCGCAGCGGAGGCTTCGCTATATGTAAGATATGAATACAGACGCCCACAACGGCAACCTATGTCACCAGCCCATGCGGTGGAAGATCGTGACGGTTTTGGGAGGAATTTGGGAGCAAACCGTGCTACAGTCCGCTAAAAGCAGGCTTCTATCAAAACGGCTATCATTTGGTCAAAAGGAGACGAGCGGGGAACGGAACATGCCCGTACACTCACGTACAGGGCGTCCGAAAGTGGTATGCCCGCCGATTGCATAAGTCGAGAGCTACTTACTGGGGATGCAGCGGGGGATAGCGGGTACCTGCGAGGGGCTGTGATACTTACGATGAGAGCCAATCACGCGACGATATCTTTGAGAAGAGATGCTTCCAGAGATCGAAGAAGGAACGGAAGGCAGTCTCTTACGTCCAGCGTTCAAATGCGGGATACGATTGGATGAGAGCTGCTGACCCCACATGTGGCCTGTCTGAACTGACAGCTTGGATGTTACCCTTGAACGCCTGTGGTGTGCATCATCGAGACGGTTCGGCCTTTGAAAAAAAAATGAGAGGGAGCAGGTTAGAGCAGGCTCAGCAGCCGGCACAAAAGAAACCGTGCGAGAATGCAAAAAGATGCAAGAACGGTTGTCAGGGGTTATTAGTCAAACTCTATGCCCGCTTCCCACAACCTTGCCAGCCCGAACTGAGATCTCGGTAAATGACACGTCCGCTATATACCCACCGACGGACCTGACCTGTACGTGTCCTATTCCTGGAACATTGGGGCTTTCAGCTTGTTGGTGAGTGCAAGTCAAAGACGAAGGACGTGTGTGGACCGTGCCGCTTCCAGAATCGTTTCATTGCTCCATACAAATGGGGTGAGGCAATGGTGTAGGTAGGGAGTGTCCAAGTCGTCCCTGATTAGAGGTCCATAACTTTATCTGACAGACAGATCTGCGTGCCGGCAGTGGCTGTGGAGATCCCGGATTCGGATTCGCTGCCTTACAAGGCGCCTGTCGATGAATATCTTGCACGACACACATGGGGATGGCGACGGGTCAAATGGCGAAACGATTTGACTATAGAGCAACGGAGGTAGGCCAGTGGGTGGCACATCAGTAAAAATGCGTTCAGAGTGAGAATGGCGGAGGCCTGTGGATGCTGAGAGATAGGGTGCATACGACAGATAAATGTATAGTGTTCGCTCCGGACTTACTAGGAAGTTCGTCTCGGAAGGGTGGGTGTTGACTGGATGTCTGACAGCGAGCCCAGCTTTCGTCAGAATGGTCGGAGCCATAGTTGTAATGCCAGTGGAGAGAAAATTGGGCTTACGAGCATGAAAGTATTACGGCGATCCGGGATCGTCGACAAGTAAGGAGCAAAACGAAAGGAGATGCGGCGTAACATGATAAGTACGCGGCTCCTCGAGTCCTCTTGATGGCACAGAAAAAATAGTGTGAGTAATACCTCTCCGTGAAATCCAGATTACAGCTTTTTGAATGGATAGTATGCCGAGCCAAGTAAGCCTCTCGGTGAAACCTCGCGAGCTTTCCCAGCAGTGTTTGGTTCGTCAAGAAAATACGAACGCCGAATCCTTGGGTACTTAGTTTATGTAGTGATGTCGATTCCGCTATTACATGCACAGGGTGACTTCGACCAAAGTTCGGCTTGCCACAAACTTATAGTACGGCAACTCTGTCCAACAAAGAGAACAGATAGATAAGGAAGGAGGTGGGTGCGATGGATCAAATTGAAATTCACGCGTCGTGGTTGATCTCCGAATCCCGGCTTTCTACGGCGCCGGGACGGTCCGCGACCTGGGTGTGGCGTGTCGTGGCTGCCCGTGTGGCATAATGGTCGACCTATAAAATTGCAAGTTCTCCACACAACAATCTGTGCCAAGAGCAATTGTATGTCAACTTCGCCTCGTACAGAACCGGAGAGGCGAAACAGAGCGAGCCATTGGGACAATCATCATCCGTTACCGCCCTAAGTTAGTACGATTGCCGGAGGGATATTATCCGGAGTTCAAAGCGCCGCACGGATTTGGACGGCTTCGTCATCTTCGTAGTCAGCTTCTGCACAGATAAGCGAAAGAATAAGGCTACCTACCAACACCGTCTCTAGCATTGGAGAAGACCTTTCATTGTAAGGAAGACCTGCTAGGTAGAGTAAACCGATGCCGAGGAGAATGACAACCACATGTATATGGACATTATATTCCTAAAAGGGGAACAATGAACGTTATGAACAGGGGAAAGGGAACGTTAAAGACGTATACACATAAAGGACATAAACCAGTCAAAAAGACTTAATACGTAACACAGCAGGAGAACACGACAAGAAAGAAGGAACAAAGAAGAAGAAATGAGGAGACTAACACCATGTAAAAAAATATGAATAGATCGACTCTTAAGAGCGATTATACAACATTGTCCTCATCCAGTACACCAACGCACATCTCCATCGAACTAACACTATACCACACTCGCTAAGCTCCACATAAGACCACACCGCGCCACTCACAGCCGCTTCAATGCTTTCTTCCTCTTTTCGCCACCGACGACGCCCGCCGCCGCACCTCTCTTCACAGCAGTCGAGCTCCGCGTGCCCTTCGCGGCGCTGGCAGCATTCCCCGGCGCGACATTCGAATCAGCCGTTCCGAGCGGAGTGGGTACCCCCTTCTCGCCCGAAGGCAAAGACGAAAGCGAGGAGACAGAGCGAGTGTTCGACGCTGACTGTTGTAAGGGCTGAGAGGGTGCACCCGAGGCTGGAGTGCCGGAAGAAATTGACTTCGCGGCGGGTGTGGACGAGGTTGGCGGGTTGTTATTCGAGTCGAGAGTGGTGGAGGGTGCGGGGACGGGTGGGAGAGTAGAGGTGGAAGGCGTGTCGTCAGATTTGGACGTAGCGAACTCGGATGGCGGGACTTTTGGAGTCGCGTGCACGCTCGTGATCAACTTCGCCCTGTCGCAATAGCTATCATAGTTCTCCTGCAGAAGCTTTCCAGCTTCCTCGTCGAGTGCAGAGTCCGGATTGGGGTAGATGAGGAGGCATTTGACCGTGACGAGAATGTGACCGATGCCGTACGACGACTGCCAGTCCTTTTTGAGGGTGTTGACACAAATTTCACCCTGGTTAGACACGTTAGGGTGGAAGATTTTCGTAGCGAACCAGCCTGGGAGGGTGAGAATATGATGTCAGCCCAGTGTGGCGATGTGGCGTATTTTGAATGGGGGAAGGATGTTGCAAGGTGGCGTGGAGTGGTTCAAACTACGCGATAAACGCGTCAAAGCACAATGATAGCAATTAAAATGAAAGGGAGGAAATGGTGGAGCGAAAGCAGTATGATCTTGCTCGTGAATGGACGCGACATCTCATGACCACACCGCCATAAAGCAAGCAGGGTGACTCCACGAAATTCTACTACTCTGCCCAAACCACTATTCTGAAAACACGAGCCCACAAGTATGGTAAACGTACATTTTGGTGGTGCAGCCGGGAACTCCTCCGTGAATCGGAACTTGACCCTGAAGTAGCCTCCAGCGTACGGCGTACCCTCTATGACGCGGCGCGTAAGTCAGTCCGACGCGACTGTGTACAACAGCAGCTAAGCTGAGCGCACCTGGGCCTTGGATAATGCCAGTAACATCTAACATGTTATCGTCGCTGGTCTGAACGCGTATACCCTCAGGAGGAGACTTCTTGAGCTCCGTAAGCTCGCGCATGAGGCGGCGCATGGTGGCTGGAGTAACAGACTAGAGCCACAAAATGAGTATAGACCAACGAAATCACATAAGGTAGAGAAACTGACCATGATGAAGGGCTAGCTAGCAGATGGAGAAGACAGGTATGGATGTGGAGAAGGTGGTGGATGCGGTGAAAGAGCAAGAAGCGACGGATTCAGAATTCAACCCTCCCGATTTGATCTCCGCCTGGCGCTCCCCACGCCAGGGACACGTGCTGCCCGCCCGCCAGGCGCGCGACGCGACACGCGCCCTCATCCTCGCCACACTCTGAGTCCCCGCTAGATCATTGTGAGTCAATTGGTCTCCAGGTTCACAACTTTGCATGCAGAGTCCCTGCCAAAGTCAACTTACCGACTTACGGAGATCCATAAGCGCTCTCAAAGCGCACAGATCAATTGATCATTTAATTGATTTCCGATTTGTTTCCGATGATTGCCGCCCCAGAGCAAGCAAATTTGGTTGTAAGACTTCTTGTCAACTGCATAAGTGACGCCTCTCAGAAACCGCTGCATTCGTTGTACGATCTTAAATGTAACAATGTCTTGAACTTGGTTGAACCTTGAGCTTTTCCAGCCGCCACACGGATGCAAGTAGATGTAGGTATAGCCGACTGCCTGGCTTGAAACGCCAGGCTTCGAACCATTTCCTGATTCCCCCAACGAACCAAATATCAGCGACAACGATGATCGGTTACTGGAAAGGTTGCAACCAAAACAAAGCCCGAAAACGGCAGGCGAAGCCCTCTGATTTCAACAACCGCAAACAAGCGCGCCAACGCCACACCAGATTCACCGAGACAAACCCAAATCGATAATTCCCCCTTCGCGTCATGGTTCTGCACCTCTATGTAAATTGCATGCAGACAGGTCATGTTAACTACGCTTAATAAAGTAACTGAAGAGTGATGTTGATCTAGAGTCCAGACGATTATGTCTAAGTACTAATGTTGACGGTTGAAACACGATGTAACGAAGGTTGGTTTGCCATGCGTATAGAGAATGCGATATGCCAGAGAGTCCGAGTCCGAGTCCGAGTCAACATACCTGTCCATGGGTTGAAGTTAAAATTACAAGAATCGGTTCGTCAGCGGGTCCAGCCCATTTGCCATCCGCAACATCACGATATTCGCACTCATGCTCGAGAACTATCAAAGCCATCAAGTGCATCAGCAACCGTCCTTCCAATCCAAAAACGCAGAAACTCTCGCACGGAGAACAGTGTAAAAAAAAAAAAAAAGATATCGAGAGAAAGAATGAACTCACCCCATTCCCCACAAACACCTCCGCCCTCTCCGCAATCCCCATATCCACCGCCCCCGAAACATACCTCTGCTCCCTATCCAACACCAACCCCGCACTCCCCATAACATCCTCCCACCCATCCTCCCTCAACTTATCCCTCAACCCCTCTAACCAAACCGACCCAGCCCACTCATTCGTCATCACATAAACCCTCCTCATTTCTCTGCCCACTGTCGCAGCATGTTCCTCGCGAATGACGTGTAGGCGCTGCACGGTCTGTTCGATCGTGGGGAGACAGTGTTCCATGTAGTATGCCCGGCGTTCGGGCGATCCGGAGGGAAAGACGAAGGGGTCAAAGCGGTCGGAGGAGGGGAGAGTGGGGAATTGGGCCCAGCCCATGTAGATGGCGTTCCAGGAGTCGAGGTTGGGGCAGTGGCGGATGTAGTCGCCGCGGCGGAGATGGATAGCGAGGACTCCGGGGAGGTTGGGTGTGCGGTGCGATGGATCCGATATTGATGATGATGATGAGGAGGAGGATGAAGGGGATGATGTGAGAGCTTTTGAGTTGGTGTTGGGAGAGGAAGGGTATGATCGGAGGAGTGGGAAATTGCGATAGATGGCTGAGATGACGAGGTCTGACCAAGCGAAGCCAGTCAGGATGGGGGATGTAGAAAGGGAAGGCCACAACGACAGCATTCGTTTATCGCCGAATAAGCTGAGCGGGTCATACCAGTCAATAATACATCCCACAAGGACTGAAAGAAGATACAAAGCGACGTACAATCGGTCAAAGACATCTTTATCCGTGGAATCAACGCTCAAACACCTCGCATTCCGATATTCGTCCTCCTCCAGTTTCTCAACCCACCACCTCATCATCTCACTGCCCTCCGTATCCGTCCGTGCATCACGACTGCTAACAACCACCACATCCTCCGCATCTCCACACACCGCATCCCAGTATTCTGTACTGACTGCTCGCGGTGAGTGATCAGGCATGGGTCCACCGGCGCTGGGTCCGGCAATAAATGCATTGAGTGGTATCCGCGTAGGTCGAAGGGCAAAATCGTAGAGCGCATATGGTAGTGGTGAATGCGACCAAGTATAATCCTCGAAAACGTACGACCGGTTCGTAAGGTACGCGAGATGAGACATGAGCAGTCTATATCCATACAAGCGCGCCACCGCCACACCAAAAAATACATCCGCAGCAAATATGGACGGTCAGCGCTGATTTCTGAGAATATCATGACGAGACGAACGGAAAGGGACGTACGCTTCCTGCAGGATATTGTTGAATCCATGTCCCCATACATGGTCTGGAAACCTTAAATACCGCGCCTCCTTCTCCGTGCCGTTCAACAGTCCCGACTGCGAACCGAGTTTTCCACCGCTCGTATCAGGCCATTTATGCTGTGGCAACCTCCTCTCAAACGCCCTAATATCCTGGTAACTCGGCGGAATACCGAACCACAGGATAACGAGGACGAGGACAAGTGGCACGCAAAGAGCAACATTGAATATTCGACGAAGAGTGAGAAATCGGAGGCAGCGACATATCGCGAGCCTTTGGAAAGAGAATCGACTGCACCGGCGATGATTCAGAGGGCTTGACGGCCGGGCGAGGGGAGAGTTGTTGTAGAACGGGATGGTGGAGACGATGCCTTTCGAGGTGTCGGGCGAGAGCAGATGTTGGAGATCGTCGTCGTCCGCGAAGTAGAGACTTGAGCGCTTAGAGCGCGAGCCTGGCGCGAGCGTAACAGAGAATGCATTCCGCCATGTCTTCCACATAGCGTCGCCGAGAAAATATTCAGAAAATTCAGACGAGAGCGAGAGAGGCAAAGAACAAGAGGGGAGAGAGAAAGACCAGACTTGGAGCAGCTCGAGATGATCAGTCCCTTTGTATAGCCCACGGCTGCGCTCGCCGCTCAGTGGACACTACTTCATCGCCCCGCCTCGCTTGTGTCATCCGAGATGGGGATGCGAATCCAGGCGTTTGCCCATCGGAAGCGGTAAACGCTGCGCACTGTGCAACAATCAAGCCGCATCGTGATTTCCATTCCAGCATTACATTGACAAGGTACAAGGGATCGTCGTGGAGCAGCAGCGGAAGTGAGGGAGCTCAGAAGGTGCAGACGGTTGAAGCGAACGCCGTAGAAGTCAACTCGTAGTGAAGAAGTGGACACTCCAATTCGGGGTGGACACCGGGGAAGAGTGCGCGTGCCGGGCCACACGGGCGAGAGGAACCGCGACAGGAGGTCGATCGTGATTGGGTAACGGGATGATCGGCATGTCGGTGTGGCGAGAGGCCGGTAAGGGGAAGTTGGGATGCTGATGCTCGCGAAACATGACTGAAAACAAAATAACGAGGCCTGTACCAAGCTCTATATCAGTGATACAACGAGTAGATATTCTATGGTAATATGATTATAGAGATAGGGACGCGAATAAAAATCAGTTCAACCGCGCCAACCCCCTCAAAACTCATAAGACCCCGACGCCTCCCTAGCCCCCTCAAGCCCCTTCTTCACACCTTCCACAAGCGCCAAATTCCTCGCCCTCCTCTCCTCCACACTCCCGCCCATCGCCCTCTCAAACCACCTCTTCCCGTCCTCACCGGGCTGCACATCCCTCCACCCTCCCCTAAGGAACTTCGCCATCCCCTTCATCCCACCCTCCTCGTATATCTTCTGTACTTCCTTCCAATGCGGCGGCGGGTTCGTCTTGGAATATACCTCGCCTGGTACATTTGACGGAACGGAGAAACCATCACAAGCCATGACGAGGCCAGGCGGCACGGTTATCCGCCCGTGCTTATAACACATCTCAGCAACGGAAACACAGTTCAGTGTCGCACCATCCGGCTCAAGCATACTAGCCTGCGAAGCCGCAAGAGCCTGCATCGCCGCATTCGCCTCTGGTGTCGACTTGAAATCCGTGGTCGAAGATGGCGGAAGAGGCGTGGCGGTACCGCTAGCTGGCGTATGAACGGACGCGAACGCGGGCATGTGCTCGTTCTCAGAGGCAGATGCGGAGGACTGTTCGGCTTGCAATTGGGCGGCGGAGGGCTTCAATTTCTTCGAGGAAGGTTTTTTCTTGGGGAAAGTGACGAAGCGGGAGATGACGAAGACCCATTTCTGGTCCCAGGCGACGATGCTCATTCGGACTTCGTACCTCGAGAACATAGGGATTTCGCGGATGAAGTTGAAGTGGGTGGCTGATTTGAGGGGAAAAGTGTCAGTGTTTATTGAAACATTGACGGGGAGGAGAAAGTCTGAGCGTACCACCGAGTGCCATCCATCCGCCAGCTCTGAAGAAGGCAGGGTTGTAGGCCATGGCGGCCGTCAGACGTGCGGCATCCATGTTCTGCGAATCAGGAACGTTAAAGCTGCGGACCAGACTCTGGGCGGTACAAGACGACGAACCTTCGGGTAGCATGAATTGCTCAAATGGAGATTATAATCACAGTCATCAAAGCCTGAAAACTCATCATTAGTTAACCTTTCGGCGATGGAGGCGAAGACAAAGCTCACCAGCAAAACTCCTCCAAGAAACCCACTTCGCGATCGGGTCCTCGCCGATAGGAGACAATTCCTGTAACCATTTCTGCGCTGCCTTCTTCCGTTCGGAGCGGGAGTGGAAGAGGAGTCGTTGCCGTAGCCGGAAGAGCAAGAATCGAGCTCGGATGTAGAAGATTGGGCGGAATGTGCGGACTATTAGGATAGGGTACGAACCATGTCAGAATGCTGTGACAATGTACACGTCGACCATTCCTGAGCTGTGGTGCCGACGAATGTTCAAGATGAACGGGCCTGCTATTGACGGCGAATATGGTGGCATGAGTCCTTCCCTGCCTTGTGGCGTCTACTTCCAAGGTCCTGGCATGACCCGACAAGAACCCGGGCGCACGACCCAAAACTCGCCACCCATCCACAAATTGAGACTCTGCATTTCCTCTTCCGTTCCACCACATCCCCACATCGACAGCATACTCCCATACCAAGCTCCCTCTCATCATAACACCTCGAAATCAGAATGGAAAGGAGAAACTCACAGTGCCACATAAACGGTAACGACCTCGCATTCAACGCCAGCACGAAAAGACCCAACCATTTTGCCAGCGTGGGCAGATATCTCCCCGCTAGAGGCGCCACCATAGACACAGACGCGATAATACGCGAAAAGAGTGCTGGGTCGAGCAGCGTCGACTTCGTCAGTGCGGATTCGGACATGGCTTTACTGTATCGTCTAAGCGCCGTTCAGTGTTCAGAGGATGATGCGTCGCGTCACTTGCGATTATTGCGCGTCTAGGTTTGTCGCCGCCGTTCGCCGTCGTCTCGTCGTAGCGTTCTTGGGTGAAGGTGACTAGAATTAGAGGAAGATTGTGGACTATATATTACGGAGCACTTTTCAAGACGCTTCGCTATGGGGCGTACCTGAAAGCTCGGATCCGGATGGGCTGCGTGGGGTTTCCTGTTTCAGCCTCGGACCGGTTATCGGAATGCCGAAAGCCGAAGGTGCTCAGTAATTTAAAGTGGCACTCCCGTGTGGCGAAGGTCAGGCTCGTGGTTGAGAGCGCGGGGGAGGACGTGTTGAAGGCAGCCAACAATTATCTGGACGGACTGGAGAAATCACGAGCCTACAGTCCACTCGTATTCCGCCCCATTCCCCAACTTATTCGAGCGGCAGGTGGGATACGCAACGCAGTCGCCGAGTCTCCGACGGTCGACTCGGAAGAGTGTAGTGTGCTTAGCAGTGCACAACGTAGGATAACTTGCTGGAAGCGTGAACCCTCCTCTGTCACGAGCAGCGACAACAGACATCTAACGATGATGGGGATGGTGCACAGATGGACTGTACTCAAATCCTTGCAGTTCACAGTTTGCGAAAACGATTCATAACAGGGTCGCGAAAGCATGAGAAGAGAGTTCAGTACATTCGTTCGTCAGAGCGATGTGATAGCAATTACACATAAGGATCCACAATAAAAATTAGTGTAGCCCATCAGCGACCGAAATCCATCGACCATTCGTTGATGAATGCAATTCCAGCTTGACGCCAGTTGTCTACCTCGAGCGTAGTTCCACCTAGAGCAGCGTTACCGCGAACAATAGTAAGTGGCTGGATATACTGAGGGAAGGGGGAGGCTGTGGGTGCGTACCTTCAGTGCTGTTGCGGTATAAGATGTTCTGAGTCCCATTCGAGTAATCCGGCCAGTAGGGTACTCCGTCGACTGAAATGTGCAGATCGTATCAGAAGACTGCTATGGTTTAGGCTAAGGACGAGACAATACTGACCGCCATGGAAGTTAGGGTCGAGATGGACGGCGAAACTGATCCACTGAGACTGCATGGTCAGGCCGAGGTACAAGTCGTCCGTCGAGTTTCCACGCGGATTCTCGGTTCCAGTAGGAGCTTCGCCTGCCGGAAGAGGATTGTTGAAGACGAACGGAGCTAACCAAGATTCACAAAATCTCAGTACCGCTAGAAGACTAAACCAAGATACGATGAGGTAGAGAAAACTCACTCTCGACGAAATGCCCCACACCTTCCTGAATAGTCGCATACTCCGGAACGTGGTCAAACCGATACGACCACGCCGTAGTCGTATTCGAGTAAATCTCGACAAGATTCCTACGCGTGCCGATCATGGTAAGATCACCATAGATAGAGTCCGCTTTCTTGTCGAGTGTCCCGTTCTTCAACGACGGAAGATCGCCCGAACCGTAGGGCACGCCATCGGCCGGGTCGGAGGAGTACAAACTTGACAAGGTCCGGAGCGTCGAGTTGCGAGCGAACCCAAGGGTCGAAGCTGAACCGGTCGTACGTAATCAGCCATAATCCGAGTCGAGGGAAGTGTGTACAACGACAGAGGAACAAACGTACCGTATAAGGCATCAATAAGATCATCTTCCGTATTGATACCGCCCGGGCCAAATGAATACCCTTCATCCGTGTTCGCCCCATTCAGAATCGGTACGTTGAAGTATTTCCCCTCCTTCAACTGCTGGCTCGGGAACCCGGGGACGAACACGCTGTCGATGACGGGCTGCCAAGTAGAGACGGCAGTAGAGACGTTTCCGCCCGCGGCGAAGAAGTCGTCGTAAGGAACGGCACGAAGACAGGCGAGGATGTCTTGGGCTTCGGAGCAGTTGACGGCGGCGGTGAGGTTGTCGAAGAAGGGCTGGTAGAGGTCGGGGGTGTAGGTCATTTGGACGGTGGGGTTGCCGGATTCCATGATGGCTGCGCGGAAGAGGGGAGGATCTTGCACTCCTCCGAAGGCGATGAGATGCATGCTGATCGACATCGCACCGGCGCTTTCGCCCCATACCTTTGAACAAGAAAATTAGAATATAAATTACGAGGTGGAGATAGAACTATGTACCGTGACCTTGCTAGGATCACCTCCGAAGGCGGCAATCTGGGAGGCGTTGTCAGGGAGAAGGAGACGGTGAGAGCGACGGCCTACTCACATTCTCCTGTACCCAGTGCAGAGCGAGCCTCTGATCCCAAAGACCAAGGTTATCAAGACCATTGAGATGGATTTGGCGGGAGCTCAGGAAACCGAAGTGGGAGACCCTGTAGTTGATCGAGACGCCGATGACGGGTGTTCCCATCTCGACACTACGATTTACGATGTAGCTCTGGTTGTAGCGCGTATCTCTTGAGGAACCCATGAAGTATCCACCACCTACGAACAAATCATAAAAATCTGAAGGAGAACGAGTAAGACAGAGCACATACCGTGGATCCATAGCATGACAGGAAGATCTGCTCCGGCCGACACGTTGCTCGGTCGTACGACGTTGATGGTCAAGCAGTCCTCACCCAAGGTGTATCTAATCAAGTACTATAAGACCGGTGAAGCGAATACGAAACAAGATGAAACGCACCCGACATCGTCACTACCGTGCCCAGGACATATAGGGCTATAATCGGAGGCATCGAAGGAACCGTTCGTAAAGCTCGCGTTGATGCTGAGTGGATGACGAAGTCGGAGGTCTCCCACTGGGGGCTGAGCATAAGGTATACCACCGAAGAAGTCCTGGTTGAACGTAGGTAGCTCCACACCGACGACACTTCCGTTCGTCACGGTCGCTGTCGGTCTCGAAGATTGACAGGAGCCAGATGCGACATGGTACGCCAGAGCACCAAAGGTGATGAGCTGGGAGAGTGAGACGGAAGGCATGGCGAGAAGGCAAGCACTGGAACGAGAGCATCTGGAGGGATTTTTATACGCGATCGCGACGCGGCAAAACGATCGCTGCGCATCAAGAGAACCTGGCCTTCAAGAAGATCAGTTGACATGTCATGAGGAGCACAACGGCCGGAGGGCAAGCAGGACAGGCGAAACGGACTAAGATCGCCAGGAACTCGAGAGACGACAAATATTATTCGTATGAAGTCAGCCTCGTATGTTTTGGGGATCCTCTTGGCACATACGCAGTTCGAGGAAGTTCCTTTTAGAGGCAGTAGATATGAGGCAACAATATTTACACAATGTTTAGCACGTTGCCCCAGGTTACCCCACTTCGCAGGGATCGTCAGCGGGGAAGAACAAGAAGATAGGAGTTTCAGGGGACAAGTCGGTAGATCCGGAGCCGTTCCTTGCAACTTCAAAAGAGCTCGGTGATAAAGCCGTATTGCAGCCATAAATATCATCCATAATCAACAGAGCGGATGAGCAGGTCATGAGACGAGAGATCGTGCTTTCGAGGTCTGTTCCTGAACGACAGCGACGAAGGAAGACAAAGTGCGTCGGGATAGATCGGGAATGATGTTGAAAGGTCGTATGAAATTCAATAAGCCTAACCCTAAGTCAGTGTGGCGACGGCTTTGTATACGGCCGGAATGGGGTACAGAAGTGGCACAACTTGAAGCTTGATCCACTGGCTGAATTCATCTACGACCTTCGGGAATACGACGTTTTGACCTTGAACATTGAGCTTGGACGCAGTGTATGGCGACATGGACGCGTCGACGCTGGCTGTGCTATATTTCGAGAACTCACATTGTCTGGTCAGCCAAAGTCGGAATCCTACCCACATCCATAAGTTCAATCCGCAGGAACGATATCCACACACACACACACACACACACACACTCACACACACCACCATAATCGCGCGAACATTACGGACCTTCCGCATTGCACCCCTCTACAAGACGTCCACAAATCTGCGAGTCCAGTCGCTCTTTTTCACGACCGTTCCGTCTGCCACTCTACCGCAGATGCACAATCGTCCCGGGTCGCCGCAAGCCAACTGTCCCTGTCTCCCAAAAAAACGCATAAACCAGTGCCATCGCTGCCCAAAACCCAATATCGACCCCTCCACCCCCTTCATCCTATCACTCTGTCTCTCACCACTCCCACACCTCCATCCATTAGCGACACGACACCACCATTACCCTGAAACCTAGCGCATCCACTGGTATACGGCCTCGCCCGTGGGATACGCTCTTCGCAACACTTTAGCTGACTGGCTTGTAGGAAAGATCGACCTGCCACCCTCCCTTCGTCACAGGATAGAACTTCTCGAGGAAAATCTGGTCAGGACTCAGACTGCCTGGTGCCGGACATCCTAAAGAGAACCCCAGTGAATCAACCTCAGACGGGTTCTGCGTCAGTGCAGTGGTGTTCTAGTGGCATGAATAATGAGAATGTCAGCATAAGAATCTGTACAAGCCCAGATCGTTACGGACCCATACCTCGGTGAACGAAATGAGGAGCTTCGCGAGACGCTTTGCAAGCTCTGCGCGAGAGATTGCTCTGGGTGGGTTGGTCCAAGTCTTCGTCCGCAGAAGACGTTTCCAAGTTTTTTGGCCGGGCCACTGGAGGAAGGAAGATACCAATGAAAGTATTCATTAATACACGACAGTACGGTAGGTGCGAGGCGGGACTGACCAGCACATGCAAGGTGATGTTTACACCGATACCAGCATCTAGCAGAACGAGTTCGTCCGCCTCGACCAGGCTCATAGCGGTCCCGATGAAGCTCATTGAAGCCATTTTAAGAAGTACTCCGTCCTGAGACGCACCGTTGATGCTGAATGACACCATATCGCGGTCGACATTAGTTGCACGGCCAAAGCGTGCCCTTCCCCGGGCGCTAGGGTGGACATAGCGAGCTTGGTGCACGCGAAAGGGCGTGGGCGGTGACGGTGGAGGTACGTTCACCTCTGCGGTACACAACGCTCTGGTTTCTGGTCCTGCGACTGGGTTCACGATGGGCATGCTAGGTCCGCACGGGACAGTCGTTCCCATGGAAGTGGTACCATATGGCCAGTTGGACATTCCTAGAAGGTCCATGAAAGACATCGAACCCTTTGTGATGAGACATGTCAGAGACACACAAAGGTTCATGAGGTATGAAGCATAAGTCAATGGAATCAGACTCACGGTATTCTCTTGATCGATCGGCGGTGGTAGGCCAAAGACGTAGTCGACGGCATCGGCGAGAGCCCTGTGATTTCCCCCGGTGTACTCTTGGGAGTCGGTCTGTCCGAGAGAGAAGATAGAGGCGACACCAAAGAATAAGTCTCGGCAACCATCAATATGCAGTATAAGATCTCACCGAATAGTTTGGGATTGAGTGTAAAACGAAATTCATGTCGAATGAAGACGTGTCTGCTGCCGATACCTGCCCCGGGTATTGAACGTCGATGGGCACATCAAGATCCGGATAGTAATTCAAAAAATTGTGCTCTGAAACCCCAGAGGCATACCAGAAACCCTTTGGCAGATATATCCACGCCGGATACACAATAGTCAAGAAGAAGTTGAGTTAGTGAGATATCGAGTAACATTCAGATGAATACATACGACGTCTACAGTGTCGCTGAATATGGCAGAGTCTTGCACCTCCATCCCAGGAAGATATCCATCCTGAACTTTTGAAGCGTGATAATAGGGACCATCATGTATGCAAGTCAAGGGAGCGACGAGTAAGCTTTGAATCCTACACGGAGAGGAGTATAACGGATAGATGGAAGGATCACAGAAAACTTCAAAAAAAAGGTGCAGATTGTAGGAAGCTTACTTCAGTAGAAGGATCATCCAGACCGCAGACGGAGGCCGATGTATTCATGGATGGCAAGCAGTGTTATGGCTAATCCAGATGAGCTGCATAATAGATAGAACGTCAGCAATGCCAGAGTAGTAGGTAGTAGGAGCAACTATGGTGGCATACTTTCGGTCTCTGAGGACGTGGCGGTATCTTGTATACAGAGTCGTGGGGTGCATAATGGCCAGACGTAACTTGATGATACGCTTAAGAGGAAGTTGCGAAGGAGGGGGGAGCGACAACGATACTCTCTCGACACTCTTGGGCTTTTATGGTCCAGGACAAGGACCTTGGCACCGCTGCACGCAGCAGGCAGTACTTAGTAGTGGCATTCATGCAGATAGCTGTAGTGACCGCACAAAGCATTGCTATAGATATCCGTCCAACATGCATGAAATGACCGGGCGCCGCCTTCATGCAAACGGCATGTACAGCGTTTCACGACCATAATCCGACTGGTGCCATCACCATCGCACACAGATAACAGTAGCTTCCATGCGTACAGCTGTAGTCCTCACTATAATAGAACCTCGTCCGCGTAAGGCGTGGGCAGCGTCACAACAAAGCCCGGACATCGAGGTAAATTATGACCGCTACCGTAGTGATAACGCATCTTCGTGGTGCCACAGGCGCGTGTCTAGAGGGATGAGACCAACACGCGCACCCATCGCTGACAAGCAAAGAGATCTGTTCTCGAAAGATGATCGATGAACTGCAGGCATAGCTAGATCGTACGCACTACCGCCTCCCACAGCTATAGCTCGAGACCAGATATCTGACGATATTCCAGGCCGCAATAATGCGTCTTCGCAGATGCCTTGCAGGCCCATATCAGAATCAACATCGCCCCCGCCAGGTGCGAGCAGAAAGATGGAAGAACACAGCACGACACAGAATAAAAAAAGAGGATTCTAGAAGAGAACGCATGAGGACACGGCCTTGATATCTCAAGTTTTCAACAGCTGTGTCAAGTCGAACAGGCCGAAGTCGACCGCCACAATAGAATTCATAGAGTCTAACTTGAACTCGTGGGGAATGGCAAATATTATCTTCAAGCGGGGGAAAAACAAAATAGATAAATAAATCAAGGCACAAACCTCTGATCGACCAACCTGAGACCGCAATACCATACTAATTTCGTCCGTGTCCTGCATCACATCTAGGTCAACCCGTACTCGCGTCTCTCTCGCCCACCACATCACCATGACCCCTCTCAAACTCCGTGCATCTTCCTCCAACCCGTGCCAAATTCCGCGAACACAGCCCCGCCGAGAAATCCCAACCGCCACACTCCAGCCTCAGCCTCAACCCCAACCAAACAATCAAGCCCAATCGTCCCCCGCAGCCGCAAGCCAACTCTCCCTATCTCCCAAAAACTCCGTATAAACCAGCGCCACCGCCACCCAAAACCCAATATCGACCCCTCCGCCTCCTTCCCATCCTATCCCTCCGTCTCTCACCCCATCCCCTCGCGGCCCGTTACCACAATTATCCTGTCCATTCACCTGCGGCCCAGCGCCTCCATTGCCCAACGAGCCACCAGGACCCACATTGGCGTCGCTACTGGAAGGAACCGCGAACGTAGAAACGGTAGGCGAAGGTGACCGCGCAGGAGGCGGCCCCGTCTCGTTCCTCGCCTGTCTCTGTCGACTCGTATTCGTCGCCGTATGTGCGAGGAGGCGGATATCGAGCTCTAGGAGACCAGAGGTGGAGTTGAAGGTGAAGTAGGGGGTCGTGTCGCGGTAGGTTATTAGTGGGATTGGGACGGGTCTCGGTGAAGGCGGTAAAGTGGAAGAGGAGGAAGGGGAGGAGGAGAAGGGAGGGGGACGGGGTGCAAGTGCTAGGGTGGGTGCGCGCATGGGTGCAATTGGGGGTAGGGATGAGAATACATCTTTCGGAGGGGGCAGAGGCGCGAATGACCCGTCGGGTTTTGGAGGTGGAGTTGGTGGGATAGGAACAGAATACGGATCATCGGAAAGTGATGTCCTTTCCAAACCACTTTCATTTTCGGAAGGAAGGGCAGGCAGTGGTGGGGAAGGTGGAGGTGGCGGAGGCGGCGGAGGGATAACGGACATGGTGAACGAACTCGCGGGGGACGCAGGAACAGCATTGTTTCGGATGGCTTTGAGTGCTCGAGCGAAGAACCCTCCGACCCCTCCTCCTCCTCCTGCAGCATTGGCGGATGGGGAAGGGTCGGACCCGTCATCCACGCCGGGGAAGAATGGAGCTAAGACGAACTCCGTCATCACAGGCCTCAACTTCGCGACTCCTCTTCCTCGTCCACTACCTCCTGCACCCGGCGAAGAATCACTCCGTCGCGAGGATCCAGGCGGACCTGTCGTCGGTAAGACGTTCGTCTCTGGATCGCCAACATAAGTGGCCGGAGAAGCGACTAGGGCATCAAGTTTTGCGTGGACTGATTTTGGAGAGGGAGGTGAGACGAGGATGGATGGTGGAGTGGGTGGTGGGTATGTGTGAGATTGCGAGGAGGGTTGGGGATCAGCTTCAGCTTCGGGAAAGGTTTGCGATTCGGGTCGCGATTGAGAATGCGAATGTGCGGTCGGAGTCTTGTCTAGGTTGGTGTCGATGGGTGGGAGGTTGAACAAGTTCGAGGTCGGTGTTGGCGTCTCGGGTTGACCGTCGACTACTGGTGCTGACGAGGCGGATTCGGAAGGTAGTGTGGGAGAGGTAGGTGATGGTGGCGAGTTGGAGATTGCGAAGTTGTCCACTGAGGGATTGCGGCTCGATTCGGGCGAGAAAGCGATGAGGGGAGGTTGGGAACCGGACCTCGACGAGTTTGCGGACGATGATGACGGAGCTGGTGATGTATTTATTGGTGCTGGTTTTCGTGACGGTGATGGCGAATCCAGTTGTCGTGGACGAGGGAATATGGAGGGGAGAGTCGTGGGACATGAAAAGCAAAGCGCCGCCTGGGTGTGATGTGGTGATGCTCTCGGGACAGGCAGGAGAGATATGTATGTGTTTGGCGGGAACGACGGCGCGCGAAGACGGATGTACCACCCACGGAGAGGTCTGTGAATAGACCAGAGCAGGGTCGACGTTGTGCTTTCCTGTATATTATTATGTGATTAGAGCCTGGGTAAGGAATGTAGGGAAAGACGGACAAAGAGGTGTTCCACAATTTCTGTTTCCGCTAGAAACCGTTCCTACTATGTGCTAGCAGATTAGTCGATGCATTTTACTGAAATATAACACGAATGCTCGCCTTGTACCAGACAACGCGCTCGGAGCCCTGCTCAGAGACGTTGACGCGCATGTCCGATATAACGTCGGAGCTGTTCCCCACCTCAGTGCACCGCCCAATATTCCCAATAAATACGAGAGCGAGCCACGAACCTGCGTACAACATACTTGACGACCTGCGTCGATATATTCTGCATTTTGCGAAAGAGTTTACTGGAACAAGAAAGGATGACAGAAGAACGCGAAGCGATGCTAGTCGAAGCTCATGCCAACGAACACATCCTTTCCTTTTCCGGCGCGGCACCCACAACGCGTCCCGGCCGTCTGGCGCACGCGTCTTTCCCCAACCTCCTCTTGGCGCACGAGCTCGCTCCTTCCAACGATTTCCTTTCTCGGCTCAGTCGACGCTTTGCTGTGGTCTTTTTTCGCTAGCACGGATACATGCCCCCGGGGCCAGCGTACAATTGGCTATGTGTCGCTCATTCCGTCTGTCAAGTTCTTGAAAATGCGGCTCAGTATCGGGCTTCGCAGTTAGCCAGGACAAGTACGGCAGCGCAGCCGAAGAACGCGCGTCCAAAGGATGTTGTGGAGGAGGAGGAAGAGGCATATGTGGTATATGGATATGTGAGACCCAGTGCGTTGGTGAAGGCGAATGAGCAATGGTTGGAACAACTTGCTTTCTCGCCATCGCCGGTTCCTGAAGGACCGTATGCTGAGGCCATTCGGAGAGTCACTCAGGTGCGTTGAATCATCCATTCTTCCTAGAATCTCTCCTAATATAATTTAATATATTAGAATGGAACAATGGCCATACGTTCAGAAGCCAGGTCATCCGCTCGAGACGCATGGGTCTCCCAAATCTCTTTCCTGCCACCGTTCATCCCACCAGCACTACCATTACCTTCATCGTCACTTCAAGAGAGTGAACCATCGTCTTCACGAAAAACCTTCGCAGAAAATACAACGGGTATGTATCCTTTGTTCAGCGTATTGCTTCACGACGACGAACATGAGCTTTATTCGTAGCGGCCTCCACTCCAGACAGCCCAGTTCCCTCAGACGTGAGTTCGCTCTCTTTTCGTACTTGCTTCGTAACGGGAGAAATTATGGATATATATGAACCTGTCAAAGACTTTCCTACCATCTTCATCCTATCACCGAAGTCTTGTCTATGACTTTCGACTGTGGGTTCGGAGCAGAGGCCTCGTGCAATGCTTTGTGGCGTTTGCAGTGTGGCGCGTCCTTCATAGAGGACGGAGGCATTTGGCTTCATTATTGGCCTCTAGATGCTTTCCGGAAGCACTGTTTTCTGTGTGTCTACCTCTCGAACTTTGTTGAGATATCAACTATAGATTTCTAATTATGTTCTTACCACATGAACAGAAGTAATCCCAGCCATACATAAGTCAAACAGGACTCATTGACAGCCTCTACGGCGCTGGGTTTTCATAAACCTTTTCCTCACGTCGGCGTGGTGTGGCTCATGCGACACTATTTTCCGTCAGTCTTTCATCGGCTCATAGCTCATCGAGTGTCGTTCTCTTTTTCTGCGACCGTCATATCCTCTCATATAAACATAGCTCATATTTGTCATTCTCACCTCAACAGCACCATGAAAACATCTCCTCTCCTGCCACGACTTCCGATACCGCACCAATCACGCCACTTCCTTCGGACCCCTCAATTTCAACAACGTTCGATTCCGATATGTCAGAACAAATCCAAGAGAACCCAACATTTGTTCCAGACGAACCGCCTCTGCCCGAACCCATCCCAATCCCACAAAATCCTCAGAGGACACTTCAATCATCCGCCGTACCTTCCTCCCGGATCGGACGATTATTTCATTACGGCGGTAAGCCCCCCGCCTCCATTTTCCACGCAGCATCCACATTTGACCTCACTCCTATCGTATTGAATATGATAGGTCTGGCGGCCTCACTAGGCTACGGCGCCGCCTCGGAACTCCTTCGTCGATCTTCCTCTACTAGTGGCTCAGGAGGAGGAGGGGGAGGGGGGTCGTTGATGCTGACAGAAGCGAATGTGAATAGGCTGGTTAGTAAGCTTTCGAAGATGAGAGGTGCGGCGTTGAAGTTGGGGCAGTTTATGAGTATCCAGGGTATGTCTTTAGTTTCTTACTTACTGGTGCTTTGTTTTGAATATAAGACCCAAGATTACTGAATATGCCTGATATTGCACACGTTGTTAGATACGCATGTCCTTCCGCCCGAGGTGGATAGGATATTCAGGAGAGTACAGGATAGTGCGCATTACATGCCGAATTGGCAGATGGAGGTACGTCCTTCTCATCCTCCCCCAATTTCAGCGCATCTGGTCTTCTACCCAGCTCATAACTTCCCTCATCCCGACTGCTGCCATCGTGCTTTATTCTCATTTGATGACTGATATGGAATGGTTGTGTGTGTGGCAAATAGCAAGTCCTCTGCTCCGCACTCGGTTCCTCCTGGCGCTCCACTTTCCTCTCCTTCGAACCTATCCCCTTCGCAGCCGCCTCGATAGGACAAGTCCACCGCGCCGTGCTCGATCCCGCCGTGCTCGTATCGTCATCATTGTCATCATCACTGCAAACCGAGTCTTCCGCCATAGACATGCTGAACAGGACAGAAGACGCGTTGAACAGGACCGAAGACGGCGGGATCAAAGTGGCCGTCAAAGTCCAGTTCCCGAATATCAGGCGGAGTGTGGAGAGCGATTTGGGGTATGTGAAGGCGTTGTTGACGGCTGGGAGCGTATTGCCGAAAGGGTTGTTTCTCGAGAGGACTATCAAAGTTGGTTGGGTTTATACGCTATAACGTCCTACGATCCTTGCTTATCGTGTACGCAGGTTATGAAGGAGGAATTGGCGGACGAGTGCGATTATGCGCGGGAAGCTTCTTTCCTTCGCTCGTTTGGGTCGGCTGGGCGGCTGGGGAATGATTCGAGGTTTAAGGTACGCAACCGTAATCTTTCATCCCTGCTCATTATTCTCCTACTTTCTACGTGGTCTGACGAGGCCTGAGATAGGTGCCGTGGGTGTGGGAGGGAAGCACTGATACGGTGCTGGTCATGGAGAGAGTAGATGGCGTTAGTCTGGGTGAGGAGAGCGTTGGTAGGTTGGGAAGGGAGGAGAAAGATGAGGTGAGAAACTTTCGCCTCATATAACTCACGACAGAAAGATGTGAGGACTGGGACTGATCTGTGGCACTGGGTGCTTAGATCGCGTCTCGTATCATCGAGCTGTGCTTGAAGGAGTTGTTCGTGTTCAAGGAGATGCAGACGGATCCGAATTGGAGTAACTTCTTGTGGAATGAGAGGACGAAGCAGGTGCGCATCTCCCTTTCTTTATCCTCGCCACCCCGCTCCCCTGTTCCACTTCTACCCCTCGTCCCTGCACGGGTGATGTTACGTCTGCGTGTACTCAATGCACGTAATCACTTAGATCGAGCTCGTTGACTTCGGTGCCACGCGGTCTTATAGCGATGTATTCATGGACGATTGGTTGAGATTATTGCAAGCGGCTGCGGAGGAGGACATAGAGGGATGCAGAGAGTGGAGCTTGAAGCTTGGGTACTTGACGGGTGAGGAATCTGAGGTTCGTTTTCCCGTTCCATTTTCCTCTTTCTCGCTGCACCTTCTCCCATGCCAGTAACATTCTAACTTGTGAATTGACTCCTTTTCCAAAGACGATGCTCGCCGCCCACATCAAATCCATGACCCTCCTAGCCACACCCTTCCGCTCCTCCACCCTCCAACCATTCGCTTTCGGTCCGGGGACGCAATGGCAGGAGATAACGCGGGAGATCAGGGAACAGATACCGGTGATGCTGAAGGAGAGGCTGACGCCGCCGCCGAGGGAGACTTATTCGCTTAATCGGTATGCTCTTCGCTCTTACCCCTCGCTCGGATCACCCCCTCTTCAGTTCGTAGCTGGACTGGTGCTGACGTATAGCTTTTATGCGGGGATCGACCGCAATGCAGGAAATTGAGCGGGGCATTTCTGTTGGCGTCGCGGTTGGGGGCGAGGGTGGATTGCAAGAAGCTTTGGGATGAGGTTGTGGAGGGGTATAAGTTCAGTTCGTGACCTCCAACCTGGTGAAACACGGACAAGACACGTAGGCAGCTCCTGCTCTTCGTTCCCTGCAATGATGTGGAAGTTGATAATTTTGTTAGGGACACATTCAGCATGCAGAAGAGCACCACTCATAGTTTATCAACGTAATATATTGGATAAGTCATGGTCCATGCATGTCGTTCGTGTGTTCGTGATGGAGTTTCTTCGTAAGTACGTGCGAAAGCAGAAGCGAGGAAAAGTATTCGAAGTCGTCGTGTGGTCATCACATTCTTGAATCGTGCGTCGTTTAGTGCTCAGTTCGTGCAGGTCGTTGTAGCCGAGGAGACCTCATCCTCTCCAGTCTCTCCCTTCTCCACGGCCTATCCTGTGTCGGGCCCCGTGTCGTATCCCGGCGACCTCGTGCCGGCCCTTCCTGCCTCTGTGTCCGCCTTCGTCCATCTGCATGCTCAGGCATCGCCTCAGGCGATGACGGTCTGATCGTCACCTCTCTTCGAACCTCCATCAGCACCTCCGCTACCAGCACCAGATCAATATAGACGTCCCGCACGTCCCTCTCTCCACTCTGTCCGTCTTGCTGATCCATCTCCGGAGGGATCATCAACTCCCTATCTCCTGTCTCTCTCAACAAGTGCTTCAACGATCCCGCCACGAACAGTCCATCCCTACCTCTGTGGGCTTCTTGTCCATGTCCCATCGCCATCCGCTGCCTTTCATCCCTCCACCAAGCGCCTGCGACCTTCGCCCTCATCCCCCTCCCCAACAACTCCCTAAACCCACCACTCCACCTCGCCATCCTCCTCACTCTCTCCGCTCTATCCTCACCCTCCCCACCTACGTCCCAGCTCATCTCTCTCCTCCGCCTCATCATGATTTCATTCACCTCATCTAGACTTCCCTCGACGCAAGCCATAACTATTTCGAACCCACACAAGTCGTCAAAGTGGAGACATTTCAAAGCGGAAATGTATTGGCCTAATGACAGGAAAGTGCGGTATTGACGAGGCGAAGTGGCCCAGACGAAGCCGACGGCGGTTTCGGTTCGCGTCTGAGTCTGAGTCTGGGTGGATGGGCCAGGATTGGAGGTGGAGGACTGCGAGTGTGAGTAAGTGAAGGTGACAGCTGGTGCGAGATTAGAGCTCGAAATCGGGGTCGTGGCATTGGTGGCGATGAGGTCTTCTGGGATATCGACAAGAGCGGTGAACGGCGTCAAAGCCCAGGGCGACATCCATTCGTCTGCCCTCGGAAGAGTTGGATCAGCTGCATGAGGGGCTTGGGGTTGGGCCTCGGCCTGGGCGGGGATAGGTGAACGAGGTTCAGTAGGACTGGGATTCAGGGGTGGTGAAGCGGCTATTCTGGGTGTGGGAGCGGTGCTCGCAGGTAACACGATAACTGCTCCAGACTGATCGTACCCATACACAGGGGTACCATTGGATGACATGCCTGGCGAAGGTTTCGTACCGAACGCACGGCGAAGTGTATTTCGTATCGACGAACATGCTGATGCAGTACGACTACGAGATGGAGAACGTCGAGATGCTGGCCATGGGGATGGGAGGACAACGAGTACGGAGGGATCAACGCCTGGAGTATGCGGTAGGGAAATAGGTCGTCTGCGTGACAGAACTGGAGTCTCGTCATTGTCCACCAAGGTATCCGAGGATATGTCCGACTCGACATCCGTACTATTAGACGAAACCGATGATTCCGAGGAAGAGGAAGATGATAGGGATGGGGAGAGAAGGCGGACATGACGAGGGCGGTGCTGGGTGGCGGTTGTTGTTGTTGTCGGATATGGGTGGCGATGGCGATGCGGGCGCCTATCTACAGCGTGCGTACGAGTCGGTGCATCAGGTCGTCGACTGAAGTGCGGTATGGGATACGGGATCACAGGTTCATCATCTTCTGTATCGTCAGAGTGGTCGGACCAGGTTTGCTTCCACGACTTCGGAACAGCATCGCGGTCTGAGTCCCAGTCCCGGTCCCAGCTGGGCACGGGTGGCGAGTAAGGGAAAACGGGAGGAGGGGATGAACGTTCAGGGGTGGCGCGCCAGGCGTAATACGGTTGGGGGCGAAGAATTGGGGTGGGTTGAGGAGCAGGTATATAGGGAGAGCCGGGTATCATCTGAGATGGATTTCTATCGATTGGAAGGGTGATGTCAATGGGACGTGTACGGTCTTGAGGGATGTAGCCATTTGGCCGAGCATAGGGATCATTACTCCAGAATGTGGCTGCCATGACAGACAGTGAAGGTTCAGAATCTTCGAACAATGGCTGAGAGGAGAACGAACGTCAACGTGCAAGAGGGTACACAGTGTTATATAACAGCCCACAGCACATACGCCAATACTCGGAAGAAGCACAAAAGACATCGCCCTGGTTCGCCCAATCGGTCCAACTTGGATCGATAACTTCCGTCCAGTGCACAGCACCACGTACAGAATACAAGGACATCGCCGCCCAGGCAGAGTACGCACGCGGTAACCATCAGGTTCAACAACAATATCACAAATTCGGCGGGCGCCTCCCAGGAATCCGGGCAACCCTTCCCAGCGAATCAAATACGCTACAATTCACAGGCCACCGAGAACAGAACAATGGCAGTCTTAGCGAACAGAACATAAGTAATAGATATTACATCGTACCTTACAACGGTGGCGTCTTATCTCAACGCACGCATTATTGCCTCGATGGCTATGAAACATTTGGTTTTGGACCTTGCCAGAACGACCCACAACGACCAAACAACGACGTTCCCCTTGTGATAATTCGAGGCTATGATGATGAGCCCAGGATGAGATCATTCTCTGGGATGAAAATCATCGGCAACACTGAAGATCTGTTGTATCCTGATCATGGAGAAAAAGGATGCAGCACTATGTTCCTTGAGCTCGGCGCCAGTATACTAAAGTCAACCGAGGCTCGAGAGGGAAGGAAGAGCAGCCGTCCCGAGAACCCGGTTCCTTTATTGTGGCACCCGACGACAAGCCGGAGAACTCCGACACATTCTTCTACTTACCTCCGTGTCAGCCTGAGCCTTGTGTCAGCCCGTCCTCGGTTTGGCTTTTCTTTACTAGAGAAGGTTTTAGACCATGCATGTAGAATTCTGGCATCAATATCGCTAATGCTTTACTAGTCACGACTTCGTCTACTTTGAAGCTGGAAGGATTCCCCGGAAACTGACGCTGGAGCCATCCGGCGAATCAAATCTGGTTCGCGCTCTTCTAGCAAAGTCCTTGCCGGCAATCTCTGTTCTTTCTTGTGTGCTTCGATAAGTAGAGGAACCCTTCTACTACAGCACGTTTACCGGAGCTTTCTACTCCTCAAGGTCCTGATTCCTCCGAGGCCGTGGTGGGCTTTCGGCGTCACATCTGTTGCTTACAATTTCGGGCGGGGTTCGCGACTCGAGTCATACGACTCGGAAGCGCCCCACGCAAGCTGCCTCTAAGATAGTTCCACGTTGACTTCCACTAGGACGTGCGGCTCTGTGCTGCCCCAAGGAGTGAGAAAATACTCTCACCATCACTGCTATATGACCTTAAAAGCCAATCTGACTCGATCTTGGTCCCTCTGCTTGACGATCTGCATGTGTCAATGCTGACTGATCTGGCTTACATGCGTCGGGGACTAGGGTGAACTACTCGACCGAGGGCTGGTGGACACTGCCTTGTATTCAATTCATTCCAAGAGTGCTTAATGATTGAACTCGGTGAGCGAACATTAAGTCACAGAGACTTAGTGGTTGATGGGTATAAAACAGCTCGAGCCGAGTTCATCCAACTGCACATTGTCTCGCATCTAAACCGACCACCTTCTACAGCCTACGAACTCTTACACAACTCGCCCAACATGGTCCTCAAACTCTATGGCTGGACTCGCTCTGTTGCCACTCGTCGTGCGGCTTGCATCCTCAAAGAGAAGAACGTCCCCTTCCAGTTCATCAACGTCGACATCACGAAGGGCGAGCACAAGGCAGCGGATTACCTCGCCAAACAACCCTTCGGGCAGGTCCCGTACATCGTACGTACTCCTTAACCCTGGTAGAGAACGAGGAATTGACGGTATACCTTTAATGGTCTTCTTGACGCAGGAGGATGACGGATTCACCCTCTTCGAGTCTCGCGCCATCAGCCGCTACGTTGCCGAGAAATATGCCGCGCAGGGAACGCCTAACCTCTTGCCGAGCAAGGACGCGAGTCTGAAAGAGAAAGCGTTGTTTGAGCAGGCAGCCTCCATTGAGCTTTCCAGCTTCGAGCCTCATGCACTCGATGTGATCCTTGAGAAGTTCTTCGCTCAGTATGTTGAGTTCAACATCCTCACCTATGCAGTAGCGTTGACTTCGACTCCGTTTGTGTGTGCCTCTGTAGGACTCCTGACGAGGATCGCATCGCTAAATTGCTCACCACGATTAACTCCAAACTCACCGTCTACGACAAACTCCTTGGGAATCAGCAGTATCTCGCTGGCGAACACGTCACGCTAGCAGACCTGTGGCACCTTCCTCTCGGGTTCATGCTGGAAAACGCTGGGTATAACGTCATGAGTGACGAAGGGAGGCCTAACGTCGCTAGGTATGCTTATTTCGAGACTTCAACCCATACTTGGAGAGACACCGATTGTTAACTAATTTTGAACGGTTCCCCAGGTGGTGGAAGGACATCTCGGCAAGGCCGGCTTGGAAGGCTGTCGAGAATGGTGTTTAAGGGAAGGGCGCTCACATAAGGAGCAGAAGTGCTGCCTACCTACAATCAATTTCAGAAGACCATTCAGTACCGTTATCACACGTATCCGTCGCTGAAAAATTTGACGACATAGCCACCCACAGAGGGAGACTGCATCCAATGAAAATGGAAGACTGTTATAGTAGGCTGTATGGGAGTTTCTGAGACCATCTAGGCCGCGAAAACAGGTATATCTCGTTCGCGTATATAATTATCATGAGCACACGATCCTACCGTAATTGTGAATAACTTACGGTCACCACTCGATATTCTCCAACCACAATTCGAACGTCCACGTGAACCGATTCTATCTCATCACCTCACCTCACCTAGTCTTCCTCTCATCACCCTCACCTTCGCCCTCCAACACAACCTCACTCTCAAACTCGAAGACCCCGGTAGCCCTCAACCTCTCGATCAACACGTCTCCGAGTGCCGTCATCGGCGTGAGGACACCTCCGAGTTTAGCCAGGGCGGGAAGGCGGTCACCATCTTGCAAGAGGGAGAGTGCGGATTCGCCGAGCATGGCTGTGAAATGAAACAGAGGGTAGTGTTCAGCATTCAGTGGTCATTCAGGACAGTGATGTAAATGGGAGACCGGCCAGGAAAGAAGAGGAAACGTACTAGCGGTAAGCAACGTCCCCGGGTCTCCATTCCCGCGGATTATGGTCCTGATCCGCGTAGGCTCAGAGCCGGGAGGAGCGACTGAGGTGGTAATGTTGAGATATTCCATGTATCCCTGCTTGAGCCTCCTGAGGGTCGATATCCGTGAGCATTGAATTTGAGTAAAAGACCACTGGTGGAAGCGGGGGGGCTGATAGGAAAGTTACATACACTGCAGAGGGGCCTTGTCCCGGTTGGGTGACGAGTCGTTTGAACAACCAGCGCACCTGCCGAACCATAACAATGTCAGCATGCCAATATCACAACTGAGACGAGCACCAATCGGCCAAAGTTGATCCGAACAGAGACATACCGGCGAAAACATCATCAGACAGATCCCCATCACAGCCACACTCAGACTCCTCAAGAACGCTCCAGCCTTACCGTTCACTTCCAAAAACTCGTCATATTTGAACGTTTTTCCATACGTCAACATCTTATCCCCGACCCTCTCCGATTCGGGCAAATTGGAGTGGAAGGCGTGGAATTGTTGGAGGCCCCAAGTACGGAGGACGATGGCGCGGTTACCTGGGGAAATGGGGAATATGGAGCCGTAGACGGTCTTGGAAGAGGGGAAGGAGGGGAGCTTGTAGAGGAGCTTATAGCCTGTCGTTGGGACGCCGACGACTAACACGCACGTATATGGTCAGCAAATTAAAGCCGATTATAAGGAAAGAAGACGTACTGGGACTCAAAGAATAGGCCCTACTCGACATCTCCCTCACGTTCTTCGGTACTTCCTCCATCAACGCAATCACCGTCGCCAACGACCCACCAGCCACACCTCCTTTCATCTTTACGGCTGTTACGCTGTCTTCGATCTCCGCGTCGGGGCCGACGAGGGCTTTCAGGGTTTTGTTGGCGAGGAAGACGATGGCGTCGGACGGGACGGAGTCCAACCCGCACGAAGGAACGATGATGGCGCCGGTTTGGCGGGCCAGATAGTCGAAGCTGAAAGTGACGACGGGGAGATAGATGAGATGAGAGCTTCAAACTCCGGTGCGAGGTCATGAACAGTGATGATGCATGTTTCACGGTGTCTGGACATTGTGGGCCACCGCCACACTGATCGAGATGCTACTGGCTAATAATAGCACATGCAATAACTCAACCAGCCACGCAGCAAGTACGCCGAAAAGACACAGAATGCCCACAGCCTACCATGATACTAACGTTAGAAAGAAGACATGCTCACTTGTGAATGATTTTGTAGATCCAAGGCCTCTCTCCCGTTATGTCGACATGATGCACTCCATTGCGTGCACAAGCCCTAAATCACAAATCCGGGAGCAAATTAGTAAAGCAACACCCCAAGAGATCAAAAATACACGCACTGAACGACAGGTGTACTATACCGCCAATACGGGCCCACCGTGTTCGCCACGACCTTGACCTGCTTCACGACCCTTTCCACATCCTCGAAGTTGTTCACGTCGACTTCAAATATCGTGACATCAGGATCGAGCTCTTTCTTTAGTTCCTCAAGTTTGGAACGAGAGCGACCGGCGATGGCGAGTGTGAATGAGGAGCGTTGTGGGTGATGTGAGAGGTAGAGGGCGGCCAGACGACCGCAGTAGCCTGATTCGCGAACCGACAAGGTATACAGTCAGTTTCATGAGCATGCAAGCGATAACGAAGATATTTTCAAGAGAATATAATGCATAAGGTGCTCTTGGAAACATGGAACCAAATAGACAGATATTCACCGGTAGCTCCGAGGACGAGAATGTCGGCCATCTATCTTGGTCGTTACGCTTCCTTTATACTGTCCCGTCGGTTAATTGTACACTGGTCACGAGAAAGGACAGTGTATCCGTTGGCTGCTTCAACAAACCTTTGTAGCCAACTTCTTAGAGTGAGAAGAAGGGAGCTGGGGAAGGTTACGGAAGAGATTGTAGAGGTCACAAGGAAAAGGTAAGGTTGAATATTTACAGCTCGCCTGCAAGACGCGATGACGAACATCGGTATCGTTTTGCCGCGCCACACGCGGGAGGCACGCCTCGAGGTGCCACAACCCTTAGTTGCTTCTTGACCATCATCACGATCTGGGTGGCTCCCTATCTATCTTGTGCTGCATTTTATGATATATTCCAAGATGTCTTCGTCTAAAGGGAAATCTGACTCTAAGGCTCCTGTGTACCAATATGATACCCAATTCTACTGCTTCAACGTCATCTTCCTGGTACGTTCCTGCTTGCTGGGAACGAGAAGCATATCCAATGTCTCAGGATCTGCATGCTGATCGAGACTGACTCGGGATTGTGATCACAGGTAGAAGACACGCTCTTCAGAGTCCCTAGGAATGCTCTCGAGAAGAACGAAGATGGACCATTCGCGGGCTTGTTCACTCTTCCTTCTGGTGGAGCCGAACCAGAGGGCTCTTCGGATGCAAATCCCATCAGGTTAGAAGGAATAACCGCATTCGACTTTCGTAGCTTCCTCAAAGTGATCTTTCCACTGTAAGTCGGTATGGACTTCATCAATAATTAATACAAATCTGACCAATAACATTGGTTTCGCTGATGATACAATTTCCACGTTCGAGCAGGCCACTGACCGAGCCTACGACGCTTTCTATGGAAGAATGGACCTCCGTCCTCAAACTCTCTACAATGTGGTCTTTCACAGCTCTCCGTGCCATGGCCGTCACCCAACTAACCCACCTCATCCCCAAATCACCCGACCATCCGATCCTGCTCGTCGTCCTCGGAAAAGAATTCTACGTCTCGAAATGGCTCCTCGAAGGCTACACTTCCCTCGCCATGCGCGACACCCTTCCAACCGAGGAAGAGCGCGCACGTCTCGGTGGGGATACGGCATGGAAACTCGCTGAGATCAGAGAACAGATATATCCGCTGAGGACGAGGAAGTCACAGACGAGGGCTCCTGCTGGGAGTTATGGGAGTGGAGCTGGGTATATGAGTGAGCCTGGACGGTACAGGTTTGAGAAGGAGATCAGGGAGAGGTTTAAGGATGAACTGGTTAAGGATGAGGCTTACGATCCTCGGGAGATAGCGAATGATCCTTCGTCAGTGTTCCTCCGACCTCAGTCGTACACAGGCCTGACGGTGATGCTTTAATACCTGATCAGGAGGGCATACTTCCAATTCCCTTCGGGCATGTTTGCAGGCGATAGTGATTAGGCCTGTTTCGACCCTTGGACTACATGGCTCCGAAGACTGACGATTTCCTCCCAGATCGCGCTCTCGAAACGTTCTCGAATTTCTGAACTGCTTTCGGTCTTCTCCTACAATTATCTTTAGTGTTGTACATCGGCGCGCGAATTTGGCCCCTTGTATGTTGCGCTTGTTATCTCGCTCTTTGCTATATGTGTCTCAACCTATGCATCTTAGTGTCCGTGTATGTATATCATTTGTACGACCGCATTAAATGTGATTCAATCATCGTTTATTTAGTCTCTGTAGACTCAACATCTAGATGCGAAAAAAGGTCGTAATTGGAAGCATGGTGAATGGTAAGGCATAGAAGATGGAGAGGCATACTAAGGTGATACGCATACGAATGAGGATCAGAAACTGACTGACTATGTACACAGGTCCATCTATACACTTACCACCACCCTCTGAATTACTGAATCAACGACATCGAACACCAAACAACCAACCCTCCCAAGTCCTTCCCAACCATCATCTGTGCCGGCAACAACGGTCTCCCACCCCCAGTCAATCCTTCCTCCGCATCCTGCAACTGCTTCTCAATCATCCCCGCTGGGCATCCCCAACCCAGGCCACCAACCCTCAACGCCAACTCCTGCAGATCCCACGTCCCATCCTCATACTTCTTCAAAAACAGCTCGCACGTCTCTTCATCCTTGACCAGCAGGACCCAATAATCCGTCTCAACGCTACCGTCGGGACGAATTGCCTCCTTGATAATAAGCTTGGTAAAGACGTTGGCCGCACGTGCGAATTGTTGGACTCTGGCGGTGTCTTCCGTGCGCGTCTTTAAGAGAGCACAGAGCGTGCGGGGGGATTGGTTGAGGACGAAGTGGACGTAGTGCCAAGGTTTGTAGGAACCATTGCTTAGGGGCGAGCGGTCTACGCTGTTTCGGGCGGAGCTTCCAGAGCCGCTGGCCGAAGAGGCGAGAAGTGGGGGGAGGACGGGTGCCGCACGAGGAGCACGAACCCGAGCATGAGAGTGGGAACGAGAGCGAGAGCGAGTGGCACGAACGCGATCACGAAAGAATTTCTTCGAAGGAGACTTCGGGACGCTAGTGGTAGAAGACCACTTAGAGCTGGGTTTTCTAGAGGAGGAACTGCGACTCGAACCCGCAATTTGAGTGGGCTCTAAAGGAGCAGACTCAGTAGCAGACCCAGGAGTAGAACCCCTCACGCTCGGCAGAATCCAAGGGTCAGCATTTGGCTGCGCTGTCTTCGTCCAAAATTCTAGTGCCGAAAGACCTGCCGGTCGATCAGCACCTGGGTTCATCAAGGCTTCGGCGTCTACAGAAGTAGCACGCTCGGTCCATAGGATAGAAGGTTGTGGTGTAAGATGTCGGGGAGAACAAGTCTTGGCCCATGTCAGAATCTCAGATTTGGTCTTGGACGGAATGACTACTTCAGGGCTTCCATCGCGAGAGCCGCTGATGGGGCCTGTGAAGGGACTGCCTGTCTCTCGTTGGCCGATGACAACAGCGAGAGGAATGGACTCCGAAGTTGCGAGAGAGGATGCATCGTTGGTGTCGTTCGCAAGGTGCCCGCTGGGACCAGGCGCTGTTCCGCTGCGAGTCGGAGGAGATGCTTGTCGTTTGATGGAGATACCAGTGACTTCAGCAAGAGGGACCGACTCGGAAGTTGCGGTGGAAGTTTCCTCTTCGGAGTTCTTGAACAGGTGAGCGCAAGGCCCGAGCGCTCTAACGTCAGTAGTTGTGAGGGATGGATATGGCCTGTACCGCACAGTCCCAGAGGACGAGCTAGACTTAGAGCGGGAAGACATCATGGCTTTCTCTTTTTCTCGCCTTTGCTTCAACAAAAGATGACGCGGTAGCTGCATCTCCCTCTCCTCGTCGACACTAGTGCTCACGTGAGAGGATCTCTCGAACTTTTCTAGTTCCAACTCCCCAAGTTCGTCTCCCAGTCGGACTGTACCCTCAGAATCGGAAACAGTGTCGGAACCAGAGTCTGTATCGGATCCCGAATCCGCTTCATCCTTGGACGGAATGTAAGTGCCCTCCGAATCGGTGTCAGAGTCAGCGTCAGAGGAGTCAGAGGAGTCAGTGTCGACGTTGTAAGGAGGAGCCCGTGGTCCTGGGCCGTAACCTTGTTCGGTAACGGGAATTTTCCTCTGCCTACGACGACTACGGCGGCGAGGTTTGGAGGGAGCCATGACTGTTCTGATAGAAAAAGCTAAGAGATCGTGTTGAAGGGATAAGTCAGGCCGGAGAATATTGGAGGATCAACGAGCCACTTACTAGGTGTTATCCTGGAGGAGTGGCTCTGGTTCGAGATGGAGACACCGGAGCAGAGTGACGGATGTTGGAGAGAAGCGATACTGAACTAAGACACGAAAGAGTCGCAGATGCCGTAGGGGAAAGGTTCAAGAGCCCGACGAGTGAGCGTTCAAGAGAGTGAAAGACCCTTTTATAAGGCTTGCTACCAGTGCCACCTTCGATCACGACACTCAGTAAACAAAGTTGTGTCAGATAAGATCCGTGCGTTGTGTTTGGCACTCGATCGCATCGATGCCACCTCCGAGTTGGGCAAACAATGCCGCCTTGGTAACGGTGGCGTGGCACGTTTGGGGCGTGCCCCTTGCTTTGTCTAGCACGAGGGTTTAATTATTGATACAATGTATGGCCCACCTTCATCGCAACGCAGATGAGTAAGATTGCCTTCGCTCGTCCTTGTGCCAATGGCATATCTGGACTTGGAGACGAGCTGAGACACGTCGTTGGGACGGTTCAAAGTCACATTGGCACCGACTATCAATGAATGAGGACGTTATGGGTGGCACGCTATGGCCCCCGAAGAAACCAAGGAATTTCAATACGTAGGTTATACAGACGAGACTAAGGCAAACTCACATCGGCATGTCTCACAGAACGTTCAACTGCAGCTATTTTCGCGATGTGGCACGCCACTACCATTTGTCTCACGCTATGAACGCTGGCCATAAAGGTTTGTATTCTATATATCGAACAGATTCGAGGCACAGTCCGAACTTCAGCTTTATTGCCATCATCTTTACACTGGAAGGTGTGAAGTGCGCTGCTTGTCAGATTGCAAACTCTGAACCATCGCCGTCGAATTATGCCAAGAATCAAATTCCAAGAATCAGTTGTCCTCGCCCGTCCAGTCTCCAAGATAAGCGCTAACGTGGCAATAGTATTAGTGACGGTCCGATACATGCGGGGATGGAATCTCAGCTCACAGAGATTCTGTCATTCCCTTATAAGCACCCCTGTACGTCCCAAATTTAATGCTAAGAAAAAAAATACCGCCCCAGTGAGCACACTATCCTGCAAGAGACGAGGGGCGGATGGTGACGAAAACCGCCTACCTCGACGTGACATTCCCCATATTCTTATTAGCCGAGTAGTCGATCAACGTCTTCCCCGTCTTCTCGTCCGTCACCTTGTACGCCAGCTTCCCGTTGTTTCCGAAAGTAACGTTCATCGAGTGCAACGTGACGCGGTCTGTGAAGTCTTCAAGCGCGACACTGGGGCAACCAGAAGATGGGCAAGGATGGAAGCCCTTCATGTCCTTGATGGCAACTTTACCAGCCTCGGCATCGAGGGTTATGACGGGGCCACTGTAACCGTCCGATATGACCTGCATGAGGTGGAAAAAGCTATTTCCTGTACCGGTCTTGGAGGACAGGTAGTACTTCCAGGTGTAAGACTTAGGGATATTGTCTGAGAGGTGCTGTGATGAGTCGACGAGATTCTTCAAGGAGGATATATCAAGAACTGACCTTTCGTCTTGCCGATACTGAACTCAATCCTTTGTCTTGGGCTGGTCGGATTCGGGTCAAGCATTTTGGTAGGATCGTTGGACAACTGAAGTGTGTAGCAGTCCCTGATGGATATGTTACTGGGACACCCGTCGATCAAGATTCCTAATATAGAAAGTAGAGTTAACACGGGGTAACGCGGCGAAGATGACATCGAAAGAGGAGGAAATCTGTACCAGTCGACTGCCACGCCACAGTCCCCACCTTCCCTTGCAGACGTTTGTTTTGCGTCCCATCAGTTAGCGTTGTTTGAGCTCTCTTCGCCGAGTCAGTGCGAGAGACACTGATCGCAACGACGCTGGGAAGAAGATAGACCAGAGCTGCCGTCAAGTACAATAACGAACGCATTGTCGTTGTGATATGCCAAGGTCAAAGCAATGTGAGGTCGGAGTGTGATGCTCTTCGGCTTTGGCGAGCGATCCAGCACTTATACGAATGCAGGCGCTAAGCTGCCTTTTCAAACAAACAGGGAGGAATGGCGCATCAGACCACTAGAAGAGCGAACAGCCACCAGGAAGGCGAGTGGTAGCTTGCCAGCAACGAGAAGGAATAGAATGAGCTCAGTACAAGAACTAGAATCCTTGGATGGCATACTACGTGAACAAACACAGGTAAAACGAATGCCAAAATAGATTGCCGTTGTGTAGTGGCCAACGACGTGGTTTGGTAGCGACATCGAGAAAGAGACCTGCGTTTCAGGATAAATGACAGCAAGAAGACGGCGCTACCCCGGATGTTCGGCAAATTCAGATACTTTTTGAGTCGAGTATTTAAACTTCAGAGCCCCCTCACGCTTGCAGAGCTAGATCCGAATAAGTGGTAGAATGCCAGAGTATCTTCCTATGACGGAAAGATCGCAAGGATTGAAGCCTTTTCAAGTGGTGGTGGTTCGAGAGAGACGTTCGCGAGCGGAAGTCGAAAATGATCAACCTGGAGCTGACTAAGCAGAGCGGGTGGCGGCTGTGGCCCACCACAAGACAAGTCTCAAAGATTGCTTTGGAAAGAGGACGATGCGGCAACAATTGGTCTGGTCGAATGTTCCATTTTGGATACATGTCTTGTACTGTCGCCGTAGCTTGCCTTCTACTGAGTGCGAGGCAAATGGTCGTAGTACAGTATTGAAACACTCCTTGATCCTGGGCCCCTCTTTGATCCACATTCCGCACGCTGCTCCCTCCAGCAACACTTCCCATAAAGTGAAAATACAGTATATTTGCATCCTTATTGTACCCCTCATCAGGTCCACGTTCATATTTTGAGAGAAAGACATGGACTGCAAGCTCTCCAGTTGCGGATCAAGCAGCGGCTCTTTGTGGCACCGCGGTGCCACACCACCTTTTTCCTTGCACATCGTGCAATGTTGTATTTTGTACCTTTCCCATTTTCTTATAAGTCCATCCAAGGGTATTTGACACTCCTTGAAGGATTGAGGGGAGGAGAGAAGAGGGTTCGGAAAATAATATGCATCGAAGCAACATCGAAGAGCCGGATCAAGGAGTGTTTCAATACTATACTGTACTTTTTCGCGCACAAGTTCACGCCACCGCCCCTCGGCCGTTGCCGAAATGACATAATCCGTTCGTGTCCCAGTTCGCAAGGACACCGGGACAAGGGACAATGTTCGTGAACATCAACGCTTTTCAGGGATACCACCCATCATAACCTCTCATTAGCCATTTATGCTCTGAATCTGGGAGGGGGAGCTCACCCAGTAGCAAAATCCAGCTCAAGATGTCTCTTGGGGCCCTTCCTGAGGTCAATTTAGGAGCAAAAAATATATTCACATTTTTGTCGTATTTGCGTCAAATTTTGGTTTGTCCCATTTACAAGTTCAGTGCACATCAATGGGGTGGGACTGTCCCGTGTCCCATGGGAGCCGTGAACGAACTTGTGCCGCTGGACAGTCCCACCCCATTGATGTGCACTGAACTTGTAAATGGGACAAACCAATATTTGACGAAAACTTAACGAAAATGCGGATATATTCTAGGCTCCTAAATTGTCCTCAGGAAGACCCGCACTGCACACTTTGGGCTGGATTTTACTGCTGGGAAGGCTCTTCCACACAAATTTAGAGGATGAATGGCTGTTGAGCAGTTATGAAAGGCCGTACTCCTGAAAGAGTGGCGATGTTCACGAACATTGTCCCTTGTCCCGGTCTGCTTGCGAACCGGGACACAAACGGATTATGTCATCTCGGCAACGGCCGAGGGGCGGTGGCGTGAACTTGTGCGCGAAAAAGTGCAGTACGTTGTGTCATACAAGAGCATGTGATTGGCAGTGAAAGTCTAGATATATTATTGAATGGGGAGATTAGTTCGTCTCTTCACTCTGACGTATCGAATGAATTTCTCTACTCTCAGATACAAGAGCGACACTAGTTACATGACTGGAGATATATATCCGAATCACCGAAGTAGTAAAATGGTGCGAATTAGTTTTCCTCGCCCATCCAATCTCCAACGTACGCACTAAGAGGAAAATCGTGTTAGCGACCGTTCAACATACACGAGGATGAACTACCAGCTCACAGGGATTCAGTCATTCCTTTATAAGCACCCCTGTACGTCCCGAACTTTATACTAAAAAGAAAACAAAGGCAGTTGAAGTCAAAACAAGATTATGGCGAGGGGCGAAGGGCGACGGAAACAGCCTACCTTGACGTGACATTCCCCATATTCTTATTAGCCGAGTAGTTGATCAATGTCTTCCCTGTCTTCTCGTCCGTCACCTTGTACGCTAACTTCCCATTGTCTCCGAAAGTGACGTTCATCGAGTGCAATGTGACGCGATCCGTAAAGTCTGCCAGTGCGACACTGGGGCAGCCAGAAGACGGACAAGGATGGAAGCCCTTCATGTCCTTGATGGCAACTTTACCGGCTTCGGCGTCGAGGGTTATGACGGGGCCATGGTAACCGTCCGATATGACTTGCATGAGATGGAAGAAGCTCTTTCCTGTTCCGGTCTTGGAGGACAGGTAGTACTTCCATGTGTACGACTTGGGCACATCGTCTGAAAGAAAAATGATCGCCATTGTGAGTGGATGAATGTACACAAGAAAACCAAATTGAGCTCTCACCCTTTGTCTTGCCAATGCCAAACTCGACCCTTTGCCTGGGGCTAGTCGGGTTCGGGTCAAGCATTTTGGTTGGATCGTTGGTCAGTTGAAGAGTGTAGCAGTCCTTGATGGTTATATTACTGGGGCACCCGTCGATCAAAATCCCTGGTATTGAAAGGGGAGTTAGCGCCGCATACAAATCAGGAATCCAGCAAATGCGACAGAAAATTTGTGTACCAGTCGACTGCCATGCCACAGTTCCTACCTTCCCTTGAATAACGTCCTTCTGTGTCCCATCGGTCAGCGTCTTTTGAGCTCTCTTCGCAGAGTCCGTCCCAGAAACACTGAGAGCGAGGGCACAAGGAAGAAGGGAGATGAGAGTTGTTGTCAAGTGCAATAACAAACGCATGGTTGTTGTGATATCGATTATGTAAGTTGAACTGAGAGGTCGGTGTGAGATTCTCTCTGGTATGGGCAAGGGACCCAGCAATTATACCAATGTAAGCGCTAAGCAGGGATTCAAAACAAGCAAGGAGTGGTGCATCAGGACATTAGAAGAATTTACAGCCACCAGGGAAACGAGTGGCCACTTGCCAGCAAGGAAAAGAATCGGCAGAGGTACTGACGCATACGCAGAAAGCCTTGGTTGTGCGTGAAAACAGCTGAAACGCGGGTAAGCCAAAAGTTGACCGTCATAGGCGGCTGCCAGTCCGCGCGTTACTACGGACTTCTTTGAGTACCGACATTGAGGAAGAGACATGCGTTTCAGGGCAAAGTACAGCCATAAGACGGCGCCGGCGCGGTGGAGCTTAGGCTAGACTCTTCACCTTTGGAGCAGCTGCCAACGGAGACCTGAGTTTGAGTGCAGGTATCAGCGACGGTCCAGCGACGCACACTCTCAGCTGATTCGCGATGCGGGCAGAGGGTCGAGGCGGAGCCATATCCCCAAGAGCTCTGATTTTCATAGTAGCATACTTCAGAGGTGATTCAGGATTTGGAGAGGAAAGTGAAGAGGGGAGAGGGACTCACAGAGAACACAGTCGAATTGAAAATAGTATCTCCGGTGACTGGTGTCGCAATAGTACGTGGTGCAAAAGAGTTTGAAAGTTGCTGCCCGGTGTTTGCGGGTGGGAAAATGAGGCGTCCGTTCCGAACCTCGTTGGGGAGCAGCTGGGAGGGTGATTCAAATGCTGAGTCTTCTAATAGTCCTCCAATTCGTCCTCGGAGGTACAAAGCTGGTGATCGTAGGACGTCGAGGTGCATATTTAGTCGTCTTCCGAGCCCAAAGTCATTCTTGTTATTTGACAGCTTTTCTATGAGCAACAAGTTAGCTGGCAGAAGAACAACGTGTAGACATTGGATGGAGTGACCTTTGTGGGCGTCTTGTGACACGAAAAGAGAGAGATGAGAGTGGTGATAGAGGATAACTGAAACGATCAGTCAGTTAGAAAAGACGGCAAAGAGAGGAAGAAGACAGTAGAGCCCTCATCAGAACCACTAGTGTGTCCCTGTCAACTCGCCTGGGCCACGAAATGCATCGCATAGTGTATCATGGCCTTCATTCGCTCTATGGAGAGCAATGAACAAGAAATGAAGATCGTTTATCGTATGACGAGTGCATGACAGTCAAATGTGGGAGGAAACAAATATATAAATACATACACTTGTATCGCACAATCCACCCTAAAACTCTGTCCAAATGTCAGAATACAATGTACAACATCCCGCGTCCACTGACTGCCCTGTCCCCGATGATCAGCCTTTAGAGTGATTCTTTATCTGCCTCTCGTGGTCGACATTCCCATTCCAGCAGGGCCTCACGATCCCATACCACCAATCCCCCATACTTCCAACCCCACACAGACAAACTCGACTGTGCCGCCCTTCCCCGCCTTCGCTCCTCCCTTCTCGCCACCCGTACAAAGTGCCTCGTTCCCGAACGTCGGACAAGGTGCTGAAGAACCGTCGTAGAGGGTGTCGTCGAGGTAGAGTCCGTAGTGACCGTCACTATTTGGGGGACAACAGTAAATATGAGTATCACAAAGCAAAAGTGAGATAATGAAGTGTGCTTTGAGTGTGTCGCGCAGAAGGCCAGAACAGGGGCGTTGTAAAATTACGAGAGAAGACGTACCCTCCACCAAACGAAATATACCCGGGCTCGCAGAGCGCAACGTAATCGTTCTTTCCCGTCCACTTGTACACCTTGACCTCTGGCTTGTTCTTATCCTTCACTTTCCATAAGAATCTAGCGCCACACGCCACACAAATCCAACCTGTCAGTTCATGGACTCCTCGACATTTTAAGTGGGAAAATGAAAGAGAGAAGAGGCACAAGGGCACGAAAATGATGCTGGTAATACGAGACTCACGACTCTCCACTCCCATAATATCCTCCCCTCTCCTTTCTTATGCCTTCCCCCATCCACACTCCGAACACAGCCTCGCCCTCATCCTTGATCACGACCAGCGCCCCTCCCACATGTGCCTCACACCTAGAGTATAGCGTTTGCAGCGAGATCCCATGTTGGTCCAAAGAGAACAGGAGGGTCCATGACTTGGGGAGGCGAGATAGAGCAGGGAGGTAGGGTCGGATCTATATATCAATTCAGGCTCGCGTTAGTGCCACATAGCGAGGCGAGGTCAATGGAACGCACCTCATCTGCAACATCGCCCGTCAAGACCGCCTCCGTACTCTCCTTCCTCCCAAGTAACAACACACTCTTCTTCTCCACGCCCCGCTTTCTCTCCACACCCTCCTCATCAAACTCGAACCCTCCTTTATTCCAGCCCTTATTTCCATTGAACCCCGGTGCTCCGCTAGGAGGAACGTAGACTTGCGTACCAAACGGCGTACCGTGAGTTATGTCCGTTTCTCGTTTGCCCGGTGGGCCCAGCATCCCAGAAGCGCCTAGAGACGTAGAAAGAGGGAGCGTCGAGGCGTGATAAGGTGTCCCGTGTGCCGAGATGCTCCGTGATCGTGAATGCGGAGTATTCGAATGCGAGTCGTAAGTGTTCGAGTGATGCGGTAATGCGCCAGGGGGAGGCGAAGGTGGAGGAACGATGGTCACTGCACTGGCTAACGTGTTCGCGAGCGCTGTTCTAGTGGAGAGGAAGGAAGACATCCATCTTGAAGACGAGGTGAGGTTGGTTCCTCCGGGCGTCAGTGTCCCCGTTGTCGCTGTGGTCGCAGTCGTAGTCGGCATCGAAGATAGAGGTGGAGGCGTGCTTGAGAGAGAGGTTGGATGCGAATGGGAGTGTGATTCGGAGTGCAGATCAGGTTGCGGATGAGCGTGGACATGCGAGTATGGGTGAGGATGCGAATCATGGAATGCCCCGGGTATGGAGAACGTGGTTTGTGAATTCGTCCTTGATACACGGGGAGGGCTCAGCGTTGAGCGAGTCATCGTCGGGGAAGGAGGTAAAGAAGGTGAACGTGCTGGTGGTGAGGTTGCAGTGGTATTAATGAACGTGTTGGGTGTGTTAAATGCGGCGGGATTGCCCGGCGTGTGTGTATGGGTGTGGCTCGAAGATCCGTTGCTGCGCGCACTCGTGGGAGTGGAACTTGAAGGTGACGGTGATGTAAGGTTCTGAAGTCGAGACGGATGTCGAGTAAGGGGCGGTTTCGTCTCGACTGGACGGGAATGGAGCAGAGATGAAGTTGATGAAGATGGTGGTGGTGGTAACGTCGGAAGTGACGCGCTCAGCCTATCGAACCCGGAAAGCGGCGAGGGCGTAGGTTTGGGTGGTTCTGACCCCGGAACAAGGAACGTTGTCGAGCTTAACTCAGGCACCAAAGACGATGAAGACGAGGAAGACGATTGTGAAGGTGGTGGTAATGGGACGAGAGGCTGAGGGATCGATACGAGTGGTGTTGGCGCATGTTGTTGAGGCGTGAGGGAACGTACAGGCGTCTCGCCACCCGTTCCCGAAATCGACGCACCAGCATTCAGATTTTCGTTGTTCGAGGTCAACCAATAAAGTGGGTCGTCCTCATGCCGCAATAGCTCCTCTAGGTACCCATTCTTGTTCCTCTCGTTCGCGGCAGTAGCCTCTTCCGTGAACTGATCAAAGAAAATCTGCGATGGAGAATGAGAACCTAATCCATTCCAGGTAGAGAGTGGGTCATCGTGTGAAGCTGAAAGTGATGGTTGGAGAGGTGCATCTGATGGGGGTACGGATACGAAGGAGCCAAATTCGGAGCTAGAGGAGGCGTTGCTCCACGTTCGTGTATGATTGTGGGCAATGGGTGGACGGTCAGGTTTCGAGGTCAATCGTTGAGAAGTGGCATTTGTTTCGGTTGGAGAACTTCGTGGGGAAGCAGGAGGAGTTGCAGGCGAGAAAAGTGTGGAGAAAATGTCGTCGGCCAGGTTGTCATCAGCCTTGGAGGTAGACACTGGTGCGCCATTGGAAGGCAGAGGGATGAGAGAGGGGATCGAGTTGAGAGGTGCGGTCATTGTTGATGCTAACGTGGTGGGATACGTTCAAGATATCGTAGGGTTCGTGATGGTATAGTACTGGGCGATGTTGATGGGGTTATGGCGGCTTCGACGATGATCTACGTGTTCCATGTCAGCCCACGTCTAATGTGCCGTCGTAGTCAGAAAGACACCGTATATATGGGGAAAAGAGAACCTCATTTCTTCCGCTAAGCAGCCACTCAGGTCGGAATGGGCTGTATGATTTCTAATGTGCGTTATTCCAGCACAAATCAGCGTGACCATGTTATGTGGCCCAGGAGCGGGAAACATGACAGTTGGTGTGAAGTGCCAGAAATCCCCCATTTATCAGCTCTATGAATCACCTTTTGAAGGGTTTCCAGACACGGAAAAGTATCCCGGTGTTAGAAAGTGTCCCCTTCGTAGACATCGAAAGGGATTGCCCCAAAAATAATATGATTACCTATTACCGCCTGCTGTTAGGCCACAAGATGTCCTTCGTAGCTTTTGAAGGCCAGTACTCCCGTCACGAAGTAGAATGGGTCCAGTTCCCCAAACAATCGCCCGCCCCCTCTCATGCTGCGAAAAACACTGAAAAAGCTCACCTTACTGATCGTCCGTCCGTCACCCGTTTGACCTGAATCGAGGTGCCCCTGGCAAGACAGCACCGCGGGTGGCACAGTATTTTTTGTTACTCTGCTTCGTCCTAAGTTTTTGGCTCCCAGATCGTCCTCTCCTTCGAATCGGGATGCAACAATCCGTAGGGGGCGTTATAAACTGATCAGTCTTCTGGCCGTTTTGTCTCTGAAGATCTGGTTGATTTGTCCTTAAGTCCGCCCAGTATAAAGTAGAGTATGATATCGTCAATCGCAATAGTAGTAAGACACGAGGGATAGAACGAAAGCGGTATGTTTTATTCGAGCGGCAGCTTGAAGCTTGAGACTTGAACCTGAGAGAAAGCGTTCGGTAATTTCCAATCTCGGCGTGCGTCATCAGCGTTTCGATGAGCCGTGTGGTTGGGCAACCACTCGGCAATCGCCCAGTTGTCTTCCTAGTTCTCCCGGGCCGAGCTTTCTCTGCTCAACCAAAGCTCAACCAACCTTCAAGCAGACTTGAACTTGACCATTCACTTGACCATCGGCAATACGGGGCTGAATATTCTACTCCATAACAAGTATGGGCAAGGATCACTGCAAGACTCATATCTCTCGAACCCATTACTTTCGAACCTCGGTCCTCAGGTGCAGCGGTTTCGATTAATATTCAGCATGCCATTGCTAACATCTTCTCGTACATTGTTTCGTATATCGACGATTCGATAAATACTGGCATACTCGAGCCAAAAAAACGGTAGATTTGCACTATTTCGAGAACATGTATTTTCTAGCTCGGACATGGCCCAGTCTCTCAGATGTCTGCATGCCTCTCTGACGGCGAGGACAGCTATCAAGATCTCAAGGTTTGTAATTTTTCATTTGATCCATCTCTTCAACAGAGTTGATTCATTCAACTGCCATGCCATCTATCAGAAGTTATCTGCTCTCTGAATTCTGAGTGGAGACCCACTGAGAGCCAAGTGTCTGATTGGCTAGTTCGCTTAAAATTCAAGCAGCAGATAACATCTATCGAGAAATCAATCTTTTCGTCCTTTCTTCCTGGCGTTCTATTTTCTTTTGCCGATCCATGCGATGTTTCCTTCCTTCCTGATCTCAGATTGATACCGGTCTTGCGCACGCAGGTTTCACGGTCTTGGCGTGATCTCATCGGCAGTTCACATCGACCATGCATCATTGCACGAAGAAAAGATGCAGAGGTAAGGCATATTATGACAGACTGCGTACCCAGATTGGTAAGAGGGATGCAGTCCGTCGATCCGCGGGCAGCAAAGATCACAGACATTTCAGACCGGGATATCACGAGTCCGTGAAAAACTTGAGGGGCAGTCTGGCAGAAAATGATGACTCAATCATTCGATTGTTGGCTACGAGTCTACGACCTACTGTACTTGGGCGAGGCTGTGAGTCATGAGTCAAAGCGAACGTACCGGAGATAAATATCGCGGACGCACGTCACCGGTGCCTTGCATATCTTATTTAGCTCTTTCCTTGTGGAACGACGAGATGAGGCGAGGCGGAACCGGAGATGGAAACGCGCGCTCTACTTCCGGCCGTGAATGAGCGCCGAGCAGGGCGCCGACGACTTTTCCAGTTCCTCTGCAAACATGCGGAGAATATTCTCCATAGAATTCCGGAAAGCAGCGAGTTCTTTGATTTACTGGTGGTGGAAGCAGCATACAATCAGTGGCATGATTTCAGCTACAATGCTCCAGATTGGCCACCAATGCAGCGCTTAGAATTAGCCGTTGACATTGGCAGTCGGGGAGCTCGGGAGGCAATTGTCGGTCCATACTGGACTCACTCAATATCTTCCTTCGCATATGCGACTCGCACAATCGCATACACTTTGGGCAACTTTTTGAAGAGAATATTCACGAAGTGATGAGCAATATATTTATATCACTCTATCAGATGCAGCCCCAATTTATCACTATCGCCCTCTCTGCTGAAGCCTGCGAGTAAACACCTAGGTCCAAGTTTGACGTCTATATGGGCATCCCGGCGACGTTTCTCGTGATATTAGAGTGTTTTTGCAGCCGCTCCGAACAGCTGTCGACGCGACAGTGTCAGAGCCCAACACAGTAGACCGGTGACCGCGCTTCTACAGTTCTGAGGGTGAACAGTGGCACCTTGCATAGGCGTTTAGTGAATAGCATGACGAAATTGTCCTTAGGAAGTGCTGCATGCATGATTCATGCTCATATGGCGCGCGATACAGCTCCACACGCGGAACACAGTTGTTGGGCTCGTCCACAAAACCGCTCTATGCGCAGGCTGTATGGCCACCAAACATTGTGCCGCTCCATGACAGGTTGCCCATGCTAGTACTTGGGTGGCTAATTCTTGATATATTATCAACGGATCATAACGAGCATTTGGAGATTTATCCACGGACTCCAGCCTCTTCACCCCAATCCCCCCGAAGGAGGAATTGGGTTTGGGTTGCTACAGCAGTAGCATATGACCCCC